CGGAAGAACCCCCCCGCCATAGACGAAGGTGTCTGTGGCGGATGACGATGGCTTCGCCGAGATCGCGGCGGCGATAAGCAAACAGAGAATTGGTGTCTTCGTCTTCCACATGTTCTCTTCTTTTGAGGGGGAGAGAGAGAGAGAATGGGTTGAATTGAAGGCTAAGAAAAAGGAGAGGAGCAAAGACTTGCTTTAAAGAGAATTTACGTAAAGGAGAGAGCAACTCACGTATATATTGCATGATTTCTTTTTCTCTTCCCTTTTTGCATTATTTTATTTGGTAGGTTGTAACTGGGCGACTATTTCATATATATCTATTGTTCAAATTAATCAGTAGAATTCGATCTTCTCCATATTTCGATGGATTGTTTTGGACTACGTATATGTACTCGCGTTTTGTTAATCACATGTTGCTGAATTTACACTTATTTAAACCCATTTGAAAACTTATTTGATGATGACTTTGTGTGAAAATTAAACTTTTCATCTATGGTATATCCTAATTAATGCAAATAATTAAATGTTAATTTTTCAAAGATTCCACCATATTTCCATCGTGTTTATCATGAATATAATGGCGGTTCCATGATAATTAATTGTAGGTACGAATCAACAAGATAGGTTTTCCAATGAATCGATACAAAGCATATGCGTGTATATATATGTGTGTGAAAAATGATAGAACACAAAATTTAACTTTTTTATTATTTATTTCCATAATTCTCCAAAAATATGAATCCGGTTTGTTCCTAAATGTCGCAAATAATTAAAGAAATAGGCAGGATACTACTAGCGAACGACTGAACGTCATACGAAAGGGAGGCTTTTGTGTATAAAAGCAACCACTATTAAAATATTAATAGCCTAACAATCGATGTGCGTACATAATTTTGATAGGTATATATATATGGTCAAAGCGATTTAAGATGATGAAATTATATGGAAAGCGCCTGTTTCTCTCTCTTTCTCTCTCTCTCTATATATATATATATATCATCTATGTTATGTATATGCATGTATGTATGAATGTACGCGTTCATGTGCATAATATATATATATATATATATATATATATATATAGATTAATAACTGCTGAGCTTCCAAAGTCAATTGTAGTTACGGGGACCGGTAACCCAAAACGCACGTACAATTTTCTCTTGACCTGCTCCTTTTTTTCATTGATTGATTGCTGTATCATTATACAAATGATTTATATTGTATGTATGTATGTATGTATGTATGTATGTATGTATGTATGTATGTATGTATGTATGGGAGAACATGTTTTCTCGTATCATCCTCCCCTGGAATAAATAATACTAATTATCCTTCTAAATTTATAAATAGTCTTCTATAGTTTATTTTTTTCTTAGATATAAATATACATTACAATATGCACATGACCCGGTTAAAATTTTGTGGGTCCGCTACGGTATACATACATACCTGCACACACACACATATATATATATATACACACGTGCTAGCGGCAGTTTAAGATTTTTTTTTTTGTGTGTGTTAGTTTATATATGAATTGATCCATGCATATCATTTCTCTAATGTGTTTAGCAGAGACGAAAGTTTTGAATAATTAGATCAACATTATTAATAAATTAATAAACAAAGCTAACTGCAGCAACAAAGAGTCTACTGGCCACGTGGGACTCACAGACACAGTTATGAAGCTGAAAGAATAACCAATTAAATGGGAAGAATGATTTCGAACCAACAGACCATATGGTAAAATATTACATGATTAGTTCAATTATGTTTACTTTAGTTATACTTATTATATCGTAATAGTCGAAAATTGAGAAAGGGAAATGGATACTTGAGAAGATGAATTTTCGTTATGGGTAACAACCATGCACGACAATGGACCTACCAAATTAGAAAAAGGCACTTTTATATAATCCTTGAGAGATATTCTTGTTTTAACACCTTTTCATATGTTAACAGAGGTTCCCACTTTGTATCCTTTAATAAATATGATATTTAAATAAAATGTAGATTAGTAATCATTTGCGAAAACGAGAAACTGCGTTTTGTTAATTTGGGGAGAAATTAAAGAAGGGAAAGCAGCTTCATGGAATTTGGTTAGGACTTCCCTGCATGACTTGTATACACTAATGTCGTCGTAGGCCCATTTCTTCAAAAATAATAATGAATAATTTTCTCGAATTTTGACCCACCTAATCCGGTTGACTGACCCCTCTCATTTCGTCAATTCCAATAGGAAATTATTTGTGGAACGAAATACATGCAAATATTTTCTCTATCTATTTTCTAAATCACAAAACACTTTTTTTTTTATTGTTAAATTCTTTTATACATGTACATTTCATTACATTAAATCACTATTAATTTGGACATTGATTTTCAAAGCCCGTTCGTCTCACAAGGGTCATAGACCGACCTTCTGGAATCATCGTTTCCTGTTCCAAAAATAAGATTAAAGCATACGGTTTTTTTTTCACCTTTTTTTGTTACACGCATAACATAATGATTGGGTCTCAATTCAATAGTAAAAAAAATCAGAAAAAAAAAATTTATCTCAACCAAAAACAGAACCGATGAACGAGCCCAAAGAAACCCCTAGTAGAATGTTTTGATGTTTGGAATATATAATGTCTGTATATATATATATATATATATATAATATTGCTTTGTGAGGCACGTAGGGAAAAAAAAATAGTGCAAATACCAATCGGTGGCATATGGAATTGAATTAGTTATGGATTAGGACATGTTTTGTCCACATCTAATTATTACGAGGAATAAAGGCAATACTCGATACCCACCAATGTCACGGACTACAAGCCTATCTCTATATATTAAAAAAGAAAGTTGTAGAGAAGGGCACTGAGTGTTGCATACAACACATGTAGACCACAACACAACACAAGCAGATGTTTCCCTGTCTTCTTCTTTCTTTCTTTCATCTGTTCAATCACAAACACAATTAGAGTTTTGATTCTTTTCTTACCGATTGAGCTACCCAATTTTGGTTGGAATTAAAGGATTTACCAGATAACATATGGTATAATTTGTTATAACCATTATTTGGATATATATATATGTACAAAGAAGAGAGGAAGTAGAGATGGGTCTCCTAATTAGAACGTAAGGGGAGACTGATGGATACAGGGATTTATAAAAATAAAATAAAAAAATCTCATGATATCATATAAAGACCCCCTTGACTTCATAACTGGAATCAAGAGTTGTGGAGTGTGTGGACCGTTTCCTTGGAAGATGATATTTCTGGTACGTTGTTTTCATGAGCCGTGGGCTATACATTTTCTTCCAAGTTGTTTTCAAATACAATCATATATGTGTGTGTATATATATCCCTCGTTTTCTTCACCAGCCAAAAAGAATAAAGGCAGAGGCATCCCAATAGCTCGTGCCCCATGCCCAAGAAAGGGAACCGACACCAGAAATGAGCCTCTTCAGACCCATCTTCAGCACATAGCATACCTTGGGACAATGCAAAATGAAACTCGATGTCGACATTTCTCGTCATTCGATTCAACTCAGGACATGTGTTTCAATGCTTCTTCGCCATTGTTACCGTTTTGGTGGATACGTTCAGTTTTGTTGCTTACATTTGTAGCCCAAAGATTACCCAATAATAATATATATGGGTGGGCCATCGTTTTTTAAAAATAAAATTGCGTTACAAGGATAAATCAAGAGTATATATTGGGCTTGTAGTTTCAATGTGGGCCCAATTGTGTAAATTGGGCTTTACGTATGATCATCCTTCTACTCACAAAGGGGGGATTTGGGGGTTAGAGAGGGGGTAAATCACTCAAATATACCAAACTTGTCGCAAGAGTTTCTCGGATATACTCAACAAAATATAACCCATTAAATTTGCTTTAAAAAGATCATATTACCTTTAATGAAACCGTATAATTATAATTATAATGTCGTAATTGATTCTAAATACAGTTGCAATTAATTCTAAATACAAATGATGTGGCAAAAAATACATTTAATTGTTTACAAGATCTTTAGTTATTATACGATCGTAAATACTTTTTTTTAGTCGTATATTAGTTACATAACAGTCGTAATAAAATCGTAAAAAATATGAAAGAAATGTGATTTCGGACTTTTTAAACCCAAAAGTGGTATAGAATTGAAAAAAAAAATTTACTTTTTTTTTTTTGTGTATCGTTGAAATTGTTGCGACCCCTTTGGTATATTTGAGTGATTTTCCCGAGTGGGGTAAATCAGATCAAACGTTTTTATTATGAAGTTACACATTCGACACATACACAAAACCAAACAGCAATCCAATATCATATAGGTAACATAGCAAATGCTTCATCATAAGCAGATTCACAAACTGTATATGATATGCCCACGCGGCAAATCGTATTTAAACGGATTTCTTAAGGGAAGAGGATCTTCGTTCCTTCAGATGTTCGAAGAAACTCCCGTCGTAGACAGACCTAACGGTGTCCTTGTGTAATAAACCGTTCTTGTCCTTCCCCAGGCTGTACAGTATCTTCCACTCCGTGAACCCTGCGAGCCTGCACCGTTTTAAAATTTGATTTACATACGATTCACATGATGAAGAGTGTGTCTGTGTATATATACACACATATGTGTATCTGTAATGAATTGGCAGGAAAAACGAACCATCCAGCGCGGTCCTTGGGTTCCCTGTTGGCTTTGAGAAGTTGTTTGAGTTCATCGGAAGTCAAAGCATCTGGATGCGTCCGAGCATGCTTCTCAAATATCTCCTCGAACTTCGGTTCCACGAATCTGATCGTCACACGTTTCCATATTATTATGAAATATATACATTTTATTTCAATCTTTTCAATGATATGTTTATATATATGAATGATGGCCGATTTAACATAAGGCTTCGCAAATTTTCAATATAAGTTTGATACCTTCCGTCTTTGTCGTAGACTCCGGAATCGCTTCCGTGTTTGGCGAGGTGGATATTCTTAACCTCTATCGGGAACTTCAACGAAAATTTCTTCCCCTGCCATTTTTAATCCATAAATTTTGATTAAATTATGAGCTGGTATTGTTTTGTTAAAAAAAAAAAAACCGTAACATGTATCAAATTCATATTAAGCCATGAATATAGTTCGACTGCATGTTTTTGTTTGACTATAATATAAATCTCTATTTTTTTACTATTAAAAAAACACGTAGCAGCAGTTCTTTGCACGTTCAATGGTGGGGAAATCTTCTGAAACAAAATATTGGGGAGATCATGTGACCAAGCATTATAATGTAATTAAATCGTGAACATGCTAAGGCCGAAAGCACATATGCATTTAATTTAATAATTAATTTAGCACAAATAAGTTGTAATAATTACCGGGCGAGTTTTCCGGCTGAGACCGACGTTGATGAACACCGCAGCGAATGCCGACAACGGAACTCCACATCCGATCGATCTGAAACCTGTTCTTCATCAACACCCGACAAAAAAACACAAGAAGACATCTGTAATTGATGAGGTGACAATAATTAATTGATAGACGAGAGACATGTAAACAAGGGGGTGGAAGAAGAGAGAAGATGCCTTTGTAGGTCTCGGAGGGATAAACGACGCCGTCTCCGTTTAGGTCGAAGAAGGCGACGTGTCTCTGCAAGAAATTATCCTTCTCCGGCACGAATCTCCCTCCTCCTCCTGCTCATTAACCATAGATTCCTTTTTAGACAGAAAAAAAAAAAACAAAAGTATCTTCGGCGATTTCACTTATACAAAACAAAAACTGTATATGACAATCAATTTCATTCGTCGGCCTCAATGTTTTTTTTTTATATGATATAATCCCAAAAACTTAGAATTCGAAATCTTTAGATAAGAAAAAAAACCGGAACGAAGATGTAATGATTACCGTTGGATGGGGAAGAATCAGAAGCCATGGCTGAGAATCAGATCAGAGAGAGGAAACAAAGGAGAAACAAACACGAGAGAGAAGATGCTTAAGAGATGTAACTGCAATAGACAGAACCCCCCCAAAAAAAAGAGACAACAGAAATGCGGAACACACGCTTTGGCTTTATTATTTATTCTGCAAATGCCTCTCTCTCTCTTTCTTCTTCAATGGCTGCTGTGTATCAAGAGGCTCTTACATAAATCCCCACCATTAATATAAAAATGTTTATAGTTGTAGTTTTATACAAGTGTATGCGTGGATACATGTATGTTACCACACATGGCGTAGACTGGTATATTAATTTTATAAGAGGATGGCAACAAAATATGAGAGACGGCTAATTCAAATCATAATATATATATATATATATTGGTACATAATTTTGATTTTAATTCGTTCCTTGTCGGATTCGTTTCGAGAACGATTTATTCAATTCTAAAAAAAATACCAAATTAAAATCCAATATTATTTAGTTCGGTTTCATCCGATTCACTTTTGATCCAGATTAGTTCCAAACTAAATTTTCGAATCGAAGTGTCCATTCTTAATTGATATATTGCTTTAGAAAAATCTTTTTAAATAAATTTTTTTAACTCTTATAAAAGGGCGGCCTATACTATCCCCATTTTAAAAGGAATTCCGTGTTTTCACGAATGCATTTAAAAGATTCGTCATTCTTATCCTTAAATACTCGTATTTGCATTTGAGTATTTGACCCACCTTTATTTCATTTCGTCCTCGTAGTGTGTGCATATTTTTGGGACAGTTTTACGTCTGTTTAAAACTTATGTAACTTACAAGGAATGCGGAGCGTTTAGACCATATCGTATACATTTATGTATATTCGAAAAGTGTGAATATTTTTCTTGTTTGTTTCATATTATATATATATATATATATATATATATAGAGAGAGAGAGAGAGAGTAAAGGGTAAGGAATCTAAATTCTGATTTCGGATTCCGGGTGTCCGAACGCATATATAAAGGATTGGCATACTGTCGGCGAATGGATACGTGCACACTCAATATTGTCTATTGAGGTTGCGTAATTGTCACCATAAAAAAGAGAATAAGAAAACGTGACACGAATGCTGCATTTTAGATATATCCCACTGATTGAGAGCATTATTGATGGTGGAGATGAAATACAGCCATATGGTATGGACTATAAACAAGAAGTGCTTTAAAAGGAAACGAATTATTAAAGCAAAAGCATAGCCGGTTTAAAGTTAACATCATCTTGGCTTATGGTCAATCTAAACCGAGTCTGTGTGTACATTGGAAGACAAAAATGCCTGAAATTTGTGTAAAAGACATTTCCCATAGTTTTTTTTTTGAAGTTTTTTGTATCATTTAAAAATTTATAATAAAAAAACAATCATGAAGGGATCCCAAGTAAGAAGACAAAAAAAAGTGGAAGGTGTATTGGTTGAAGGAAATGTGGAGTGAACTTGGGGGGAAGCAAAAGGAGGAGTGAAAAAGGGTTCCTGATGCTTCAGTGCTAAGTGATCGATTCCATTTCGAGGGAACCACTTTTTTTCCCCATTTATATACAAATTTACACACTAATCAAAATAATAATCAAAGAGTGGGCGCATTTAGTCAAGGCTTAGTTAAAACCATTGAACACAAAGAAACTCAAGACAAAAATCATATGGGGTACTATTACTACTACCAAGTACTAGCAGTAAAGAATGTAATTGACGAACCAAGCAGGAGCAAAGGCTCATCATTCCAAGCCAATGAGCCCTTCCTTGGGTTTATTGGGACATCTCTTTCGGTTTTGGTTGGGCGGGAGAGAGAGTGATGTATCCATTTCTCAGACAATACAAAAGGCATAATTAATACGTTACAAGTGGTAGTTTTGCCCATAATAAGGAAGAGTCGTCCTATCCCTAGGGCCGGCACTTCCAGAGCATCGTATGGTGTTTATATACACTGTCGCCTTTAATCATACAAATTGCTGACCTCGCTCACATTACACAACATTTCCCCGCCAATCCTTTCTGCTCCGTCCTTGCTTCCTCGTTACCTGTCAAAAAACACCGAGTTTGATTATAACTCTTATCCTAGAGATTTGTAGCCCGGAATCACAACAGAGTCTCACTCATCTACCCTTCGTTTCGGTACAGTAGTTGTGAAGTGTGATTATGCTAAAGTTTCAGAAGAATAGATAAGGAAAACGGCAAAGATCACCTTCCGGCGGTTGAGCTAGCTTCCGGTTCTGTGGTGACATCATTTCCTTTTTCAGCTGAACAAGTATGTCCTCCATCGTGTATTCTCGCCTCCAGTTGGTGAGCATAGGGAAGAGACTAGGTTCAACCTGGTTAAAAAAAGTAGCAGCCCATCTTCTTATAAAAGTTGTAATTGTGTCACAGCCAAACAAGAGCATTAGAACTAACATCACTGCCGCCTACCGCTCCAGTTTCTGGGTTGACGCAAACCATATTTATCCTGGTCTGGAATCTCACACTCGGTGGATTATCCGGGTAATCCTTGCCACAGAACAGTTTCAGCTGAAAGATTTTCCCTTCATATGCAGTCTGACATTCATCACCAAACGTCAAGGTTTTCTTAAGACAAACACAGAAACTAATGATCACTTAATTTTGGGGCCTCTTATACTACGAAAGGGCCAAGTTTCAAAGTAAAAAGCAGGTTCTTAGTGCGAAATATACATAGGTTGACTAGGTGTCGAGTCACTTGAACATATTAATCAGAGTTGGCCTTCAGACAATACAACTATCACTTACTACATATAGATGCATAAAGGACAAATGACATATCCATATTGGTCTATATTTTCCTAAAAACGTGCCGGCTGAGGTTTTGGATGCATTCGAAACGGGTTAACAGCTTTTCTATTCAGACGATGTAATCTGGCATTCCTCCGCTGTAAATTTACGTATGTTCTTCGATTAAGCATTGATACAATAAAGCTAGAGAGATGGAGATACATACGTTAGGAGGGCCGATTATGGTTCCAGTCCAAGATTGCATGTAAATATCATCGGCGTCGTCCATTCCATAGCTCACGGTCCCGTCTCCGATTCCTTTCTCACCTCTTTCAAGTTCTTCCAACAATCTAAAGTTCCTGGGAACTGAAAATGCGCGGATACAAAAATTGAACTCAGAAAATCAAACATTCTCGCCCAATCATTTCCACATCACAAGTCAATGAGGAAAATCGACAGACGCTGTACATGATGCAACGGAGAGCAGCTTCGATCTCATATGATCGGTCACATTAGTTTTTTGAGCTCGTAAAGGCAAAAAATCGAGTCAACACGAAACCCTAGATTCCGAATTGGCACGATCAGAGAAGAGAATAGGGGTTTCACAAACAAAAAGAATCGAAAAAACCTGGAAGGATAAAGATTGAACTTACCGACGACCTTCGTTTCCTCCGAAGCCATAGCCAGATCCTAGTCAGATCTCAGACAGAATATCCGAGGTTCAGTAAGAGGAGATAACACTAGGAAGAAGAAATCGCGGAGAGAGAGAGAAAGCTCAACAACTGTTCATCACAAGGGTGTAAAGGAAAAGAGAGAAAAAATTGGAAGGGGCTTTTAATATGACAGTACCACCTTATCCTCACCTGTTAAAAGTTAAAACTCACGCATTATTAATCACTCTGCCAAATTACCTTTTATCTGTGAGTTTTAATTTGTTTTTTTTATCTAATTACAATTTTTTTTTCAAAAACCCCAATTAACTTTATTAAAGAAAATAACTCTATAAAAAAAATATAACTCACAAAATCATTCTCTTACCTATATCACCCACGTGCTAGTTTATATATAGATATGAGATAAAATTGTCTAACATGCTTTTTCGGGTAATTACAGAAACAAAGTTTATGTTAATTGCGGCGAAACCTTAAATTATGTCTGTTTTCATCTCGTAATGAGGATATGAAGCTATAAAAATCGACCAACTCAACCGAAACAAAAACAAAAAACCACAGTGAAGTATCAAAACTTCCACCCTCTTCCGAAAGCTTCAGGCTTTTCGCCTCAGCACTTAAGTACTCGCGAGTCTCAGGGCATTCACAGCATCTTCTTGCTCGACCTGACAGCCAAAGACACGTATGTAATGAAAATGCAAGTCATCATCATAATTGTGAGAAAAATTGAAGGGCTGCCCTCCATTTTTTTTCAGGCGAGACAAAAAGGATCTCACCTCGACAATAACTCTGGATTTCTTCTTTGATTTGCGTCCATCATCAAGCTTCCTTGAACTTCTTCCCTTGTTATTATTGATCGCGACTTGTCCCTCACCATCATCGCCATGATCCTCGTCATCTGTGTCTGTACATAGTTCATAGGCCATGCATGCAATATTCCATGTTTGAGTAAGAGATAATAGTCGCAGCAACGCGGATGCTTTGTGTTACCAAGCAAACACCAAATTCCACTAATCATATTTCAACCTATATGCAAGAATTTCCAAGCCACCCACCCAAATTCCACGAGTGAAAACAAAAAAAAAAGATCTATATCGCGTTTCGATTCCTATACATCCCCTAGTGTTGCACTTGGTTTCTACCATAGAATCACACATATAGAATAACTCCAGTCTCCAGTATCTAAAGCCTACTAATATTAATGCACGCAGAAGTTATAAAATTTACCATGATCGCTGTCATCCAAGTGCGACTGCTTAGAGGGAAACCCAGAGAAATCTTCCATATCTTCCTCTTCTTCGAGATCATCATAACCTTCTACATATTCAATCTCTGGTTCCTGAGAATATCATGTTAACAAAGTATATTTCAGTACAAAGGCCTACAATCATATCTTCTGCCCAAAATCAACACTGGACAGCAAAAGTACCTCCTCCTCCTCTTCTTCTTCAATTTTCTCAGCTCCCTGCTTCTCTGAATCAAGAACCTTGTTCCACTCAAGCTCTGGGTAATTGTATATGTCACCATACACCCCTTTCTTCAAGCGCTCCAGCAACTCACTTTCAATAGCCTGTAAATACCAAGCTCTGTTTGACATAAGAGATACAAAAAGGAAACAAATGTGATGCAAACAGCCAGAAAGCAGCAATAACCTTATCTAACACAGCTGCTTTTTCAGCCTTTTCCTCCCTTCTCGCCTCCCTCTTCTTTTCCTTTCTGGGTGTCGTCATTATCTTCTCCCTAAGAATTAAACCGATATCATCAAAAGTGTTTAGGACAACAAAACACACAAGCTTGCTACTATCACAAGGATCCTGGAAAGAATAACACTTATACTGTCCCTCTGTTGGTCAGAGACAAGAATCAGCACCAGAAAAAGAAAAAAAAAAAACCTTGTTTTCAGAGCGAGTTTCCTCATGCGAATGCGCATCTGGGTCATTTTGGTCAGTCTTTGTTTTATCTTGTGCTGCAATAACTTGGGCCAGTACATCTGATATGGTAAAGAAACAGAGTAACCCCGGTTTTAAAACATCAGAAAACATACAAGGATGCAATGGAAATAAAAGCTCGCAATATAGTTCAGTCCATCTCAACTCACCAGATGTTTATCAATAGTTTCGAGAGCCTTCTCGTAGTTTCTTGGCAGCTTTACCCTCTCCCATAAGTCCTTCGGCATGTGAGCCCTCTCTATAGTCTTCATGTATAGATAAAACACTCCTGCTCTCAACACCAAGTTAGAGCTCATCATAACACTATACACAGAGAAACAATTGTCTACATATTCAATAAACATAAGCCTGTGATACGCATATGTCAAACAAACAACCTCTAATCTACAGAACTGTCAAAGCAGGCCTAAACGACACAGACGCCAAAGCAAACTTTTTCATTGGTATCTGTTGGATCTGAGGGTTGTGGCTCAAGGCTCGACAGCAGCATAGAAGATTTGTTTGTGTTGATTAGAACAAAGACAGTTACTAGTTGGTTATTTGTGTCAGTTTGTATTTGTTTCAGAAGTCAGTTTTTTTACAGTTTGGTGTGTAAGTTATATATGTATGTAAAAACTTATGGAAGTAATGTGAAGTACGTTTGACAAACTTCTGTTCTTTCAGCCCCGAAACAAAACAGATTGATTGAGTCCGAAACAGAGCACAGATTGTGTTCTTCTCAAATTGACAGAACACTCATTAGTGTTTCTGGTTTAGTCCGATTACAGCCCGAGAATCGAAAAGGAGGTTCCGGTCTAGCTACTCAACTAAGGCTAAGTCAGTCAAAACATCTGAGCAGCTTAATACGGAAACAGCTAGTTCAACGGTACCTTGTTTTCAGAGCGAGTTTCCTCATGCGAATGCGCATCTGGGTCATTTTGGTCAGTCTTTGTTTTATCTTGTGCTGCAATAACTTGGGCCAGTACATCTGATATGGTAAAGAAACAGAGTAACCCCGGTTTTAAAACATCAGAAAACATACAAGGATGCAATGGAAATAAAAGCTCGCAATATAGTTCAGTCCATCTCAACTCACCAGATGTTTATCAATAGTTTCGAGAGCCTTCTCGTAGTTTCTTGGCAGCTTTACCCTCTCCCATAAGTCCTTCGGCATGTGAGCCCTCTCTATAGTCTTCATGTATAGATAAAACACTCCTGCTCTCAACACCAAGTTAGAGCTCATCATAACACTATACACAGAGAAACAATTGTCTACATATTCAATAAACATAAGCCTGTGATACGCATATGTCAAACAAACAACCTCTAATCTACAGAACTGTCAAAGCAGGCCTAAACGACACAGACGCCAAAGCAAACTTTTTCATTGGTATCTGTTGGATCTGAGGGTTGTGGCTCAAGGCTCGACAGCAGCATAGAAGATTTGTTTGTGTTGATTAGAACAAAGACAGTTACTAGTTGGTTATTTGTGTCAGTTTGTATTTGTTTCAGAAGTCAGTTTTTTTACAGTTTGGTGTGTAAGTTATATATGTATGTAAAAACTTATGGAAGTAATGTGAAGTACGTTTGACAAACTTCTGTTCTTTCAGCCCCGAAACAAAACAGATTGATTGAGTCCGAAACAGAGCACAGATTGTGTTCTTCTCAAATTGACAGAACACTCATTAGTGTTTCTGGTTTAGTCCGATTACAGCCCGAGAATCGAAAAGGAGGTTCCGGTCTAGCTACTCAACTAAGGCTAAGTCAGTCAAAACATCTGAGCAGCTTAATACGGAAACAGCTAGTTCAACGGTACCGTCATGTTCACGAATGGTGGCGTAGCGGCTGTTGGCGAGAGGGCAAGAGCTCCGGTTGCAGATGCCCGTCACATTGTAAGGGTTTTTACAGAAGTTTCCGGTCTCGATTCTACAAGAAAAAAGGGGAGTCGGCAAATCCATTCCACACAAAAACCTCAATAGAATAATCACTGGACGAAATTAACTGAGAAGACGAGCAAAATACATACTTGGCCATAAAACTGCAGTGCTTGTGCCTGATAACCTGCCATATAACCTCATCATGCTGCATCTTTTACAAATTCGATGAGAAAATCGAACCGGCGACAAAAAAATAACTCTGCTTTGACGGTTCTAGGGTTTAGGAAGAGATGTAGAATCGTGAGGCGGCAGAGAGGCACGTCGGAGACGAAAGAAAACGGCGGAGGCAGACACGGGGTTAAAACCTCAACGCGCCTTATGGGCCTACCCGAAGCAACTTTTTTGGACCAGAATCAAAGCCTTTTGGGCCTGCTCTTAAAAGCCTTTTGGAAGAAAATCAATTCCTAAAGTATTTCAATTTAATCCTCCGATTTCTTTTTTTAAAAGTTTCAGCCGTAATGATTTTAAAACTGACATCTTGACAGAAAGTTAATGTCAAATTTAAATTTTTGGACGAAACAAAAAAGAAATTCGCTCTACTGAAAAAACTTCCAAACTCAAAGGAAATTTTGATTATGAACGGTGATTATTTTTATTTTGAATTTTTTTTAACTTTTGATTTTTGCTTTTTGATTTTTTTTGTAGTTTTTATAAAATTTGATTGAAAGAGTAATATTTTGGTTCCTAATTTTTAGATTTTATATGTAAAATTATCAAAAAAGACTTTTATACATAAAGTTAAATTTTCTTGAAATTCTGGATGTCTTTATCTTTTGAATATTTTATATAATTCAAAATAAAATAGTGAAATGAAAAAACAGATTTTCATTGAAAAACTTATAAAAAATGAGTTTTTGACTTTTACTTGATTTTTTTTTTTTTTTTTTTTTTGGTTTTTAGGTTCCAAAAATCTCTACCACTCGACCCTTTGTGATCCACCGACTTAATTAGGCATAAAAAGTGATGGATCGATGGAGAACAAAAAAATATAAATAATTTAGATGAGCGTAAACTTTGTAAAGAGTCAAGCATCAGAGCATGCTTGACAGATTATCAAAACATGGGCATCGATGATGCATATCACTACATTCCTCTTCTTCATTATATCTTCTTTTTTGTTCATTTTTGCACCATCTTTTACATATTCTCTGTTCTTTTATCTCTGCGAAAACTCTTATTGCCAGTGATTCCCGTTATGGATGAGATAGAGGAGGGTCGGCTCTCTATGACAGTGAGCATCGCGTCCATAACTACGCATCCTCTCCGCCCATCTCCCTAAACACAGCACGCACTTCCCTCCTCTCTGTTTCGCCGCCGACGTCTTCTTCCCGTCGGCGGATTTGATCGGAGACAGGAAGGCACGGATCTTCGGAGCCGACGAAGCCTTGTCGTACTCGTCCATGAGATTCGCCAGATCCTCATCGGAGGTGACTGTTATAAGCGCATCCAGATCTTCCGCCGGCAACTGACACCGGAGACTCGTCGCCATCCCGCACATAACCCCGAGCTTCGTCATCAGCTCTGTTCGATCGAACAGCTTAAAACCGATCGGATCGAAATTCAGGAAAGTATAAAAAGAACAGAAAAATGAAGGAGAAGGAAGGTACCATAGAAAGATACGGGACGAGGGAGGGAGAGGACGCGAGTGTTGCCGCCGTGGTAACGGAAATTGCCGTCGGGGTAACGAGGGAGTATTCTGCCGCCATAGCTGCAGAGGAATTTGACGGTGGCCGGAGGATTAGGCATATAGCTATTGAACTGTGGTGAGAGAGAGAGAGAGAGAGAGAGAGAGAGAGAGAGAGAGAGGAGGTCGATTGCTTCTTCAAGCCAAGCAACTGAAATCTATTCGGATATTTATAGGGAAATATCACAAGGAACACACGGTGATATTTATAGGGAAATATCACAATTCACAAGTGATATTTATGGGCAGATTTGGAATTTTAATATTTTAATCGAATTTTTCTTATTCCATTATTCCACTCTCCAAAATCACACGTGTTAAAATGTATTTACATATAATACATATTTATTTTTAATTCGACAAGTGCACCCTTGGTATTAATTGTCCGTGAAATAGCAAAAATGTGTAATTATCAAGTGGACATCATCGTTTGAACAACAAACAAGCTTACTCTTATTGTATCCCATACATACGTACATATACACATACATATATATATATTAACTGATTATATGTACATATATATAACTCGAGAGTTTACTCCAAATGCTACAGTGGCAACCATTTAATGATATGCTGAGGAAAATAGAAAATATCACCAACAATTTATTTTTGTGTGTGTGGATAAATCTGGTGTAATGTTTTTGTTTGGTTAGCAATCGAATTTTATAATCTCCAATTGTTTTGGATTGCCATCACGTGGTCCTCATGTGCCCACGCCCTAAGCCCTCCGTATCTTTGTTGCTATTTAAATTTTGAAATATCACTGATTTTTATTTTTCGTTGAAGTCATTATTCAGATATTGCAGAATCATCACATTGCAGTTAACTTTGTTAAGGTTGACGGTTTTGGAATGAAATGGCATTTGACAAAATATCTAACCACTTAGAAAAATGACCAATATCTTATAGACCAATATAATATGTTTAATCACCAAGTTTATTTGTATCCATTATCTAAATAAATTAATTCGTATACCATCTAAATTTTTGAATGAACGGGAAAGGGATTATTTTATGTCTTACGTTTATTGGAAAAAGTTTATGAGGTGAAGCAAATATCCATAGGTCGTTATTTATGTTATACCCTCCAATATATGAAGTAACATAGTCCGACACCCTGAAAAAAATAATAATAAAGTATATATGGCCGAAAACACAACGACGAGAATATCCATGGAATAATAACCAAAATAGAAATAGAAATATACAAAACTGTTCCGACATATACGTATAATAATCGTTATTATCATGAGGCAGAGAACAGTTTGAAAATGAAGAAGATCATCCAATGAACCTGCGAGAAAATTTTGATAATTGGGAGACGAACAACAAAGGATATAAAAAATACATGACTTAAGCCGAACAAATGTTACCATTTTACCGAAATAATATGAATTAATTTTTATTTTGATAATCAGAAGATTGAAAAAACTTATGTGAATGCTTTTTTTCCAAATGAAAACTCGAATCCGGATTAGGAAAGAGATCTGCTCCTTTTTTTACCAGTTGAACCACCAAATTTTGGGTATTATAAATTAATTTTGACAAAAATATGTAAAGTCAAGAGATTTAATTTCTTATTCAGCAGTTTCGATTCCTTACCGCTTCCTTGGCTATCACCTGTCGTCGTCTTTCAGTCCAATTTGTGTGCGTGCATGGGAAAAATATACCTAATGGTTGGGGGAAACCCCTAGGTGAATTGGTTAAAGAACATGGAGAAACCATAAGGTCGGGGTTCGACTCCTTGCCGTCTCTCACGTGTGTGTTGCAGGTTTGTGTGCATGGGTTGAAATTTTCTTTGGTACGCGATGCTGTACTGATGTCGTCCTCGTCCGACCCATTAGACTGTGAGGTGTTATGGTGTCTGGTGTCCGATCCGAAAGATTGTAGGGCAGATTTCCCGATGTAAAAAAGAAATACCTAATGGTTCGGTGTGGGGGAAATCTCCGTGTCATGACCGAGTCAGTGACTGAAAATTTGAAGGAAAAAAAAAGATACAAATGAACCGTATAACTATGTAAACCTATTCAGATTAACTCCAAAATAGCACAACATGATTATTGTTTAGGGATTTATTGAGGACATTTTCCATTATCCCAACTCAGCCTTAAGCTGCTTCAAGCCACGTGTCCTGTAGGATTGATTTGAAAAAGAGGCACAGTGAACGTGGAACGGTCGGTCTTAACGACCCCACAAATGTGTGGTCTTTAGCAGTTTTTGTCAAATCATCTTAGACGGAACCACTAGTTCGTAATCCATGAGAGGTCACAGATTCATTTCAAAATCCTAGGTTTGATTTTATTGATGGAAAAAAAGAAATACGATTAATGATGTGATTAAAGATTGATCCCGAATCTAAAAAAAATTAAATGGATCGAAAATTTAGTAAAATTTCTAGTTATAAAAAAAAATTATTTTAGATGTTTGAAAGATAAAAAAAAAAAATGCTCCAACAGCATATTAAAAGATCGTGTGATATATTTCATAATGAAAGATTTTCAGTTAAGGAATAACGTTGAGTGGTTGGCATATTTCGAAAATTTACGAACACTAAAAAAAGGGATGCACATAAACATTCGCCCGATCTTGGGATTACACTAACGGGATGTCGATTACAAAAAATTACACACACATTACTATTGTTATTATTATTGGTCACGGTTACTATAAAAATTTGGAGATCCAAACCTTACATGCAAGAAGGGTCATCATGAAGAAGGAAAAAAAATACATGCGGTTCCCAAATTTGCATGTCATTGCCAAATCTTGGCCACGTGGCCACACGCGTCACGGAATATTCTCGTCCTGATTCTACAAATTCACCGTTCACGTGGGCCCAACGGGATTTGGACAAATTTTTTTACCTTTATTTATTTTAATTTATGTAATCTTAATTTATGTACTTTAAATGAACACCCGGGAGAATACATCAAAGCAATAATAACAACGCCCTAACCCAAATTTATTTGAAATCCACCATTCATTAGATTTTGGATTAAATCAATTTTTTTTTAAAGAAAGAAAGAAGAAAACCTATACCTTGTATCATTATCTGTGATCAGAGATGAAATCACTAACCGACCAGAAACCGGTTTAGAGCCGAAACTAGGACCCATGGTTCTTCGTTAGTCCGACTACGTTGCAACGCTCTGAACGCACATTCTCGTGGAAGAATCATAATCCCAGAGACCAGACATCATCTGACGTTCAAGTTTCTTAAGTCTGCCGCTGATCCAGTTGTTATGCAGCACGAAGCAACGCCTCCTCTCGCATTCCCCTCTCACGTCTCTCCTCTGCCACAGCTCTAAATAGGCTCCGTTCGGAAACTGGTCTCTGTCCAGGAACTTAACTGTCAGTTTCGTCTCCGGCTCTACGCATTTATCCTCTCCGACTCTATACGATCCTCCTTCCCCGCATAACGTGTCGTAGAAGCTCGGCTGCTCGGACAGACCGGACGTCGCAGCATGCTTCACCACTTTCTCCATGGCCCTGATCGTTGGCCCATCCGAACGTGCAAAGTAGAACCCGGAATTCAACCGCCTAGGTAAGTTTATCGCCGCTGCACAATTGCACATGAAAGAAAGTAACGATATCGAGTCAGACACAACCTCAATCACATGGTTACACAGACCCTACTACTACCCTACTCGTGAGCATAGCGAAGAAGACTCACCCGTCCTGTTATATTCATCAGATTGCGCGACAAGAACAGCAGGGCCAAAGGATTGAAGTAACGGCAATGGATTTCTGAACCAATACACGTCCACGTCGCTCAATAGAACATTATATCCGAGCTTCAGTATCTTCGCAACTATCCTGGACTTGACTTTGGTTACTCTCTGAAAGCACCTGGATCCAAAGTGGCAGTCATTGAAGCTAATGTTGCCTGGGGCTAATGGATCTGCAAAAACGGGTAGACCCTGGCACGTCACAGGAGAATGATATGTAAGTATACATACGAAATATGAACCCGACGTCTCATATAAAGCACCGCCCAAGTAGTGTATATAAATCATCAATTTATCCTATATTGGTTTGATGTGGGATCATTCCCAAATGTTTATCTATGACAGAGAATGGGAAAATCAAGAGACTTTACCTGCAAAACAGAGAACTGATAAGTTTCCTCATCAAGGGCACAGACTAAGAAATTCGGGATGGCAAGGCGACGTAACCTGCAGACCCAACTCATCAACATGTCCTTATAGCTATATCCAGCAACAGCAAGAACAACAGTCTTATTCTTGTCTGCGACTAGCAGGAGAAGAGACTCCAGGTGGAAGGGAAATGTCAAAGGTGGCATTGGCTGATCTTTCTGGAAAGAACTGAACTTCACGCTTCTTGAATTCCTTCTGCTTATACAGGCTGAGATCTTCTCTCGTGTTCGCCAACCCGACATCCTCTCTCTCAGATGGTAAGTCTTCACTTCAGCCATAGATGGAACAATGGAGAGATCTGACGCATTAACGAACAGATATCGCTTGTTGCACTTCAGAAGTTTTGGTAGAGTAGAAGACTTGTCACTGAAGAACAAGGACCCATAAAGCTGGCCGAGATGGGAGTTTGAGACGTATTCCCAGTTCCTTTTCCGGCTAACTGAGTTATTGTCGCCCGTATACTCGTTCTCTGGATTGGATACGAAGAAACTGGACATGGTTGAACTAGCATCAAACACAAACCTATCTTTACATGTCAAAACCTCATTGATGACCCATTGATTATGAATTCCTCTCTGATACAAGAAAGGTGGGATGACACCCCCGTGTAAGGGCCCGCCAATATTGTTCCAAGCCATAACGATTTTACCTTCACCGGAATTTGACTGCCCATTCTGGTTTATCATCTTCTGCAACTATTGAAATGGAAAACACGATCAAATTTGATTCTTTCGCGATGGACGACGGGCCAACAGAGCATCAAGAAATACAAAGTATCCTCCTCTCCTTACCTCCCGGATTCTCACCCTTCTCCCATTGGCTTGACGCCAACAACGATCCTCTTCGTCCAAATAGAACGGGAAGTGGGGAAAGTTAAGCGGTGAAGCGACGAGTAGCCAGTCACGATCAAGCTCGTAAGCATAATTCAGAGTAGAAACAAAATCCGGAAGCAGAATTGTATCCGGATCGATCAGAACAGCTATATCCGACACATATGCTTCACTCCTTTTCAGCATCGAGTGTAAGAACGGAGTGCCGAGTAGCCTGCAGAAAAACAAAAATGTTGCATATGATTCAATAGTATTTCCAAAACTAGCGATAAGTATCATTTGCATTTATCGAATCTAAACATAGTAACTTTTAAGGATTAAGACAACGTATAGTGAGGTTTAAAGGAACGCACGATCGAATCAAAGGGCTTACGTAAAATCGATGCTGGAATCGACCAAGACACGGGAATCGAATCTCTGGGCGAAGGAAGAAACAGAAGGGTGTTGACTGAAGAGAACGACAGTGACATGGGAAGACAAAGCGAGCCATGAGCGGACAGAAAGCGACTGCCGATCTTCCAAGGAGCCATCGAAAGGAGGAGGCGCTGTGAATATGGTGATTCTGGGAGAACTTGAATCGTGGGAAAATCCGGAATCTCTGATCGGGTCATTGAGAGAAGAAGATAAAAGGTGGGTTCCGTAGAAGGAGAGAGCAATGAGGAGAAACCCAGAGAGCCAGACCGACAACAACCCAGCTCGAAGCCCCTGTAAGATTTCATCAAAGTAAGTTGCAAAGTTGGAGAAAAAAAATTACGAAAAAATTTGGTAAAAAATCAAGCCATGGAGTAGCGATCCTGCGGGAAGAATGAATAGACCTTCAGCTTCATGGAATCGAAAACATAAGAGGAAAAGGGTTGGTGAAGAAGCGAAAAGGAGCAACTAAGAGAAGGGAAGAAAATGGAGCTTTAACGGAAAAAAAAAAAGAAAGGAGAGAGAAAAAAAGGGAGAAATACCAAAAAACAGGCAGCAGAAGAGAGGAAAGCCGGCGGGAGGAAAGGAAGAAGCGTGAAGGAGGATGTCGTCATGTGGTCGCTTTCCGTCTTCTCAAGGAAGATGGTAATAGATCTCTTCTCTTCTGTTTCACATTTTTCAAACTAAATTAGGGTTCTTACCACTCAGGTTCGCCTAACGACTCTGACCAAAGGAGTTCAACATCTTCGACCTACCCTGATGATTATTGTAATTGCTTATATTATTGAAAAAAAAACTAATTTTTTTTTGTTACGATGAAATTCCCTGTGATACAAACGTTCGGGTCGGACACTGGACACCACACTTCTCAATCCATGGGTCGAACGAGAACGGCATTAGGACAACATCGCGAACCTGAAAAAAACCACCGCCATGTGCGTAATCGGAAAATTACGCAGAACAGCCTCGTAAAACTGTCCGACTCAAGAGGAATTTCTATATGTTTCGAATCCACAACCTCTCGACAGAGCCGAATTGTCACTAACACTAGATTGAGACTAAAAAAAAGAGCCTATTTTACTCAAATATACTTACTTTTACCCGAATTAATCCAAGTACAAATGGAAGATAATTTCAATTATTTAACAAAAAAAAAGATAATTTCAATTAAAAAAAATGTTATAAGAAAAACTGTAAGGACAGACGATCAAGTCAATTGGTTCCGACCACAAGTTTGGACGTGTACGATGTTTGACACTTCATTCGTAAGGAGGTCCACCGACAAAGAAAAACACCAAGTAACTACCACCACCACTACTACCACTAATCGGATATTCCATGGAAAATCTTTGGGCTTTACAATTCGCCATTCAAAGGTCATATAAATAAAAAACCAATGGGCAAAGTCAAACGTTGTATGTTTTGCATTGAACTATTTTAGAATCGTCACAGAATCCAAGAACTACATGGAAGTGTTGTTGTATATGGAGGACAAATGGTAAGCTTACAATAGATGTATGGGTAACATCTATATACACTTGCATCAAAAGTCATGACCATTCAAATAACACATAGTCACGACCAGAGCTCGGCATGTTCCGTATGATACAGATTCATGGACATCTATATTGCCTTTAAAGCAATAGAACCCGGTTTATACGACAGTGTCGACTTGTCTCTTTGTCAATCTCGAGTACAATCCATCTTTAAGCAATAGCTCTTTGTGACTCCCCATCTGTTTTTTTTTGTTGTTGTTGTGAAACAAAAACATCAGAAGTAAATCTCTGATACCAAGTGGTGGTTTCACAAGATGTTCTAATGAATTCATCATCAAAACTGTTACAAAGAGAGCCACTGACCTCAACCACTCGCCCACCGTCCATCGCTACTATCCTATCTGCAGCCTGAATCGTCGACAGTCTGAAAGAAAAACCCCTCAGAAAGCAATAATCAAAATCATACAAGATCGGCCGTTAGCGAGAAGAACCCACCTGTGTGCTATCACTATGACGCTTCTCTTTGTCGCTGAATCGCTACCAAGAGCACGGAGAACTCCCTGCATAAACATAGCGTCATTCATTTCACACCAGATGGATGTTAGATAACTGAATTTCCTCCTATTTATCAAGGGTATGATGGTATATCCTTTGAGGTATAACCGTGTAAAAAGTTTAAAACTGCAGAACGTTATTTTTTCCGAAGAAAACTTTTTTTTCTGTACGTAGCCGAATTCTACAATCTACCAAGGAAAAGGAGCTACCTTGACGTTGTGTTCGCTCTCTGCATCAAGTGCACTGGTTGCTTCATCGAGGATAAGAATTCTGGGATCTCGGAGGGTAGCCCGGGCAATTGCAATCCGCTGTTTCTGTCCTCCGCTGAGTAGATCATCATCAACCACTGTGTTGTACCCATTGGGAAGTGCTGAGATGAAGTCATGTGCATATGCCTGCTTTGCCGCCCATACTACATCTTCTTGAGTTACATTTCTACTACATCCGTACCTGATGTTGGAACTGATGTCTGTGCGGAAGAGTTTTGGTTCCTGTTCGAATGTGAAAGCATTTAGGAGGAAACCTCCATCATCAAATTCTATTCAATTTCATTAATATAAAGCTTGAGCAGAACCTGTCCCACATATCCAATTCGCTCCCTCAGCCATTTGACATCCAACTCTTGACAAGGAACCCCATCGATTAGAATCTGAAACTTATAAAGTGTCAGCTGTGAAAAAGGAGAGGATAAAGAGGCGATTCCGCTACAAGCTTGAACAGACTACCTGACCGGTTGTTGGTTCATAGAGCCGTAGCAAAAGATTAACCAGGGTGCTCTTGCCACTACCACTCAGACCAACCTAAGCAAAGCACATCATTTCTCATGTCACTAATGATAAATATCAAGAAAACAGGCAGCGGGAATGGACCGCTCGGATATACTTACGAGTGCCACCACTTCACCAGGATGCACAGAAATGCTCACATTTTGAAGCACGGACACCTGGGAGATTGGGCACATCACATGATGGTTAATAGAAATGGAAAGTTGACCTATCAGAGTTTGCATGCCCGAAGGACTAATGACTTATGGGTAAAAACAAATCGTAGGAGGCCTGCTTTCTCTACTCAAGAATTGTGGTTCAAGGACATTCAGAAAGAGGGATAAAATGAAGAAAAAAAAGTTCTACACTCGTACCTCTGCTCTTGAAGGATAGCAGAAAGAGACATTGACAAAATCGATATGTCCTGTTAGCCTCTGCAATTTTGTTCCTGCCAAACAAATTGCAAATAAAAAACCAGTCCACAATAGACCTAATAGGAGTTCAGGTGGTCCATCCATGGGGCTGACTCTGATATAAACTGATAACAACTTAACCCATGTTGACTCCATACCAATCCTAGGAATCTGCTTTGAAATCTAGCTTATAAGAAAAGGTATCCATAGTCTGACATCAGCCATTAATTAATCTCATTCTTGGTAGCATGGGATCATAAGATTGTAGTTTCGAAACTATCATTCTCGCAACATACAGCTGGTTGCTGGAACTTGAAACTTGCCTTTTGATATGAATTGGTCACTGGACTTGAGATCCATCATTTGGAAGACTTTTTCACTGGCTCCGACTGATTGCATCAAAGATGATATATTATCTCCCACCCACCATGTAGAATATATTAACCATTCACTATATAATATAAACTTCGTCAGTTGCTCTGCTGTTATACGACCGGCTAAGATAAACATTCCTCCAATCAGGACAGCGATAATCTATAAAAGAAACAAGCGATGGATCCCGTCACATTCTTAGCATGAATATCCTGCTTAAAGAGCCGCATACTCATAACTCAATTCATGGAAAGAGTAGAAGAAGAAACGATAAGCAGACAGAACAAAGTTTGAAAGTTATGGAACCTGAGTTGAGTGATAAAGAGTGTTGAAGCTCCAGTTCCAAATCCCATACGCAGCACTTTGTCTCAAGCTTATAGCCGCCAATTTTTCAAGCCAATGATTGTACCTTCACACAAGAGATATGGAAACTATTTATAAAAGAGGTAGAACATGCTCTTGGAACAGATGAGCAAGTTCTTACAAAAATTTTCAACAGAAAAAGACGAGCAAGACAGGGTTAGACTTTCAAAGGTTTTGGAGGATAGTGATCCCACCTTTTAAGTTCTTGCTTCTCTGTCCCATAGACACGCACAGTTCTCATCAAAGAGAATGTCTCTTGAGCCACCTAGATGGTCAGAAAGCAATTACTGGCAGGCAAAAACATTAATAACATTAAAGACAAATGTCAAGAGTTTTTGATAAAATTACTTCATTTGCAGAAGCTGTGATCTCTTGAACTAGCTTTGCTGTCTTCTTCTGGTACCTACAAAGGAACAATCATCACCACTCAGATCTGCGTAGAGAATACATATCAATAAATACATTCAGATAAATACATAGCTAGTTTGGAATAGGACTGTCGATTAGGATGTAATTTATATTTTCCCTCCTCAGTCACCCCACCCTAGGCTTCATTTTGAAGTGCACTTGTTCTCAAATATCTATTCTATGTATCAGCAAAGACAGCTTCGTGAAAGTGAGGAAAAGAGATGGTAGATTCTCACATCCCATAGATGAACATAATTGTTGCCAAAGTAGAGCATATTGCCAATGTGCACAGCCCAAGAGGCCAAGACAAGATCATCAAGTAGATCAATGCACCACCACCCTAATAAGAGAAGGAACCACACATTTAGCTGACTGTTTTTCAGGAGATATGAGAAATGTATGTTAATTTAGCAGAGGACCTGAAGCACATTGCGAAATATCAAGTTAAGATCATTCCCAATGACCCTTGAGACTTGCTGACAATCCGATCCAAGTCTGCTTGTCAAGTCACCAACAGTTCCAGAGTCGAAAAATGATATATCCTGATGATGCAACATCCGTCGGAGTTTCGCCAAGTTAATACCAACCGATGCTAAAAAAACTCCAAACAGAGGTGTTTATGAGCTAACAAGATTGATGCTTCAGACTATAAGCTTCACAACCTGAAGGAGAAGAGTAGAATATAACGTCTCCCTCATCCGTTTCACCTACAGGGTAAATGTGAGAACCCATATTACATTCTTGCCACAGCAAAAATGTTGAGTAGATCAGAAATTAAGAAGGAAAAACATGGGAAGCTAACTCACTAGTATCATGTTTGCAATGCCAAAGAAGCATCCCCTTATGCCACTGAAGTTAAGAGTTGAAGAAAGAATCGAGTCAGGATCAAGAGCTGAACAATTTCATAAGATAACCGCAAAAAAAGAGCAAGCCTTTAATTCAAAGCGTCAACCCAGGGAGGAGATTTCGACCATACAAGATCTTGACCTGCAAATTCCTGAAGTAACACAAAGCAGAACCAAGAGCCGCACATTTCTATGAAACACAGGAATATCACCACTTTGTGCCGAGAATATCGAAGCTGTCAGAAAGTGTGGAATGGATATCTCTGAGAGCTGAAACAGATACAGGAAAACCATAAGCTTCCACACAGAAAACGAAAGAGCTGCAGAGAAGAAGAGTAAGGAACTAAACAATGGTTCAACTTAACCATGCTCGCAACATGACAATGTCCTTTACGACACATTTCCAGCAAGTGCCAGTTACCTGACAACCTATCTTATCCGTATCCAAATTCCTCGAGAATCATTTCCGTAGGGTTAAAAATGTGGATCGGTAGATGCTAATCATTGAGCAACAACTCTCGTTTCAAACTACAACACTATCTTACGGAGTTTGAATCGCAACCACTCGAAACACATGAACTAAGAACAACGGAAACGAGTGCTTAGTAGGGGAACCACACGCACCGCAGCAATAATAAGAGTCGAGAATGCGGCGAAGATAACCCACCGATCCTTAGCCACCAGTTCCCACATGCGGCTAAGCGCCCGCCATACAGTCACCGGTTTCGCCATGAACTTAGTCTCTACCTCGTCGGAGAAACTCCACCAACTTCCGCCTGGCAATATCGTCCGTATGAAATCGATACATTGCCGGATTTTCTCGGGAAAGGCGGCCTTTTCTCCTCCTCCCTCGTAATATTCCGACTTTTCCACTGCGACTCCATTCACCGACGAGCAATTAAGCGAAGGCAACCGAACATGCTTAGCTTTACGTCGGAGGGAGAGCGAGAATTCTGGTTTTCCGGCAAATCGGAGATTTTTCCTTCTAACGTCGCCGGCGGTGACAGCGTAACGCCGTCGTTCAACGCGGTGAAGCGCAAAGCGGATAGGGTGGCTCGTGCAGCCGAGGACTTGCAGAGCCATGAAAGCTCGTCGAGATCGGCGGAGGAAGATTGAAGCTTCGAGCTTCCCGGTTCATATGAATTATGAAGCAGACAAAGGAAGAGAAACGTCGCCGTTTCAAACGATAAGCGACGACGATGTTGAGTAAGAGGCTCCGTGTGAAGGGAAACAACTGCACACGAATGGGGCCCACGGTGCTTTCGTCATAACCACAACCACAAGGCACGTGCCTTAGTTGAGCTTCTTACCACATTTTCCTCCGTGTCTGGTGGGTAGCCGTGGAGGAACTTCTCACCAACGACGTCGTTTCGTCAGAGTTCTAAATTCCCGTTGGGCCACACTCATTAGACCCAACTCATCCCTAATATATAAAAAGCCCATTGTGGCCTAACCCCGTAAATATGCAAAACATTAGAGGGCAAGACGGGAAACAAAAGAAAGTGAACCCTCTCTCTATCTCCCTCTTTATAAATCTCTGGCTCTCAACCCTAGCCGCACAGGAGAGAGAGAGCTGCAGATCGGGGAAGATGACGACCAGGTTCAAGAAGAACAGGAAGAAGCGCGGTCACGTATCCGCCGGACACGGTCGTATCGGGAAGCACAGGAAGCATCCCGGAGGTCGTGGTAACGCCGGTGGTATGCACCACCACCGTATCCTCTTCGACAAGTACCATCCCGGTTACTTCGGGAAGGTTGGGATGAGGTACTTCCACAAACTGAGGAACAAGTTCTACTGTCCCATCGTCAATCTGGACAAGCTATGGTCGCTTGTGCCGCAAGAAGTGAAGGACAAGGCCACCAAGGACAACGTTCCATTGATCGACGTCACTCAGTTCGGATACTTCAAGGTCTTGGGAAAAGGTGTTTTGCCGGAGAACAAGCCTGTCGTGGTGAAGGCAAAGCTGGTGTCTAAGAACGCCGAGAAGAAGATCAAGGAGGCCGGTGGAGCCGTCGTGCTCACCGCCTAGGTTAGGCGATTTTCCTCCTTCCATTTCGATGGACTCGTTTTGTTATTCGGTTTCAATCGATATCTCTAACGTAGAACTTTTATCGGATTTTATACATCTATGTTATTCTGAGTTTTGAATTTGATATGATGTGATTGCATCTTTCGGTTTCTGCTTGCGGATCGTCTGATTGTCATATATTTTCATCATCTCCTCTGATTGCATGATCTAATGTTCCGAATCTTTGCTTATGTTGGAGAGGGCTTTCGTTTATCATCTGATTTCAATCTCACCATTGGCTGATTGGATCTGGGTTTGTATGTGTGAAGAATCTCTATCTTTAGGTTTTCACTGACAATCTCTTGGCTGAAATTGGGGATTCCCCCGTAGATATATTTTTGACGGGATGGTTTCCTCTCCTACACGGAAACTATACAATGTGAATGTATGTACATATACACATTCAAGAAGACTGAATCCAAACTAAACACAACTCAAACGTGTTTCTTCTACTTGGAGCTATGCGCTTATTGAAATCTTAGTCTCTGGTGTTTGGACGAGACATGTTCCTTGGTAGTTGGTTGCCGATGGTCTTTATACATTCCTTCGTTATTGTATAAAGACGATACTCAAAGATGAACCCTCGGAACGAATCGGCAGCTTCTGATGGGGTGGGGACCACCACCAAGCCCTGCAAAACAATTTAGGGTAATTTATTTTGGGCCGGGCTTGTACAATTTTCGTTTGGTGATTAAAATATCGGTTTACATGTAACCCTACTTTGGGCCCACCTACATTAGTCAGTCATTGCATTTAACTCTTCTTTTATTCTACTTTACTCTAATTTTCATTTTGTATTTTGATCGCAATATGGTTTGTTTCACTTTTGTTTGCTTAATAATTTCATGGTTTTAGTCGTTTTTCGGTATTGTTTTTCATTTTTTGTTTTATCATTATCCGTTTTTTTTTTTTGCTTCTCTTTCCATTCCTGCAACCTTGCTTGAAATCCTGCGTTTTTCTCGTGCTTATATATGTATAAGCCTTGTAATATGCGAAAATACTAAGTCCCAAAACAACAAAAGGTTAAATTGGGGGTATTACCAAAACGTCGAGAGGATGGAGAGCATAGGATTCTTTCGAAGTGGACTGTGAAATTAAATAATCACACCAAAACATGATCCGAGTTCACATTAGACTCCAAGTTTCGTACGTGGGTCGCTTTCCTTCATAAATATTCTTCTTCTTTTTTCCAATGTTAAAAAGTCTTTTAACAAACCCCATGTTCTATTCCACCTATACATACACTGTATGTAATGCATTTATGCAACATTCATCATATCATTTAGCGTCAGCCAACACAAGCAGACCTTCCTTTTGTCTTTGCCTTTGTCGTTTTGCCATTTAAACTGAAGTCTTATGATTGGATGTTCTCCCTTTTGTACGGACTCCTGCCAGAATCACTATTTATAGTCCCTCTCCCAATTTCACATTCTGAAACGTTTCAAATTAAAATTAGATAACATATATTTTTTCTTTTAAATTCGGACCGCATATTCAGAACTACAAGTTTTAGAACTTCATATCTGCGCCCATAAAATGCTTATATATATATATATATATATATATAATACATTTTTACATTCAGAAAATATCTCGATCTTTAGAAGAAACGACATTTTACTGGTAAAATCTCAGACTTTGTTTCATAAAGTGAGTGAGTTTTACAATATCAATAAATGTTATAACATTAATTTTAATTTTGTATACACACTCTATAGTATTAGATATGCAACAATGGAAACAGAAAAAGAGGATAGAAACAAGATAAAGCTCAAGAAGCAAAGTGATCCTCCATGCAATGAAGATGAAGGGAGACATGCTCTGTTCAAACCCCAATTTCACAAACAATGGCAAGAATAATATATAACTCACTACACTAAATTTAATATTACAAAAATATTATATAGCAATCAGTATCACCACTGCTACCAATAGAATTCGTAACTAAAAACCTGAATGAAGTTTAGGATGAAAACTCGAAATGATAGAACGGTAAAAAGCCCAACCGAACCTAGGCTCTTTGTGCAAAGAGACTGTCCAAATCTTGGGCGACGATGAGAATTCCGCCGGCGGGGTGGATGGTTTTCCGGCGCTTGGGTTTGGGTTTGCATGGAGCGGGAGGGCATGACACGGCCGCCGGAATCATGAACTCCGCCGCCTTGGGAGTGGTGCACTCATCGGCCGGCGGTCCTCCCCCGCCGCCGTCTTCTTCTTTCTCCGACTTCTCATGCTGCGGCCACACTGTACCAGCTCTCATCGGTACCTCCATTTGAAGCGACGACTTTCCCGCAGAATCCATCTCTTCAGAGAGAACAGCGCAAAAACAGAGAGGAAACCCTGAAACCGCTTGCCCAAGAAAACAAAAAGGGCTTATAATTGTTCAAATGGCTTTGCCCACAGGACGATTTTCTTCCACGAACCGAGAAAGGAAATCTTCCTCGGAGAAATCTGGGGAAAGTTTCTTTCTTTACCGTTCCAGAAAGAAAATTTAAGAAAAGTTTCAGAGGAGAAGACGGAAGAAGGCGCGAGGGAATCTCTCTCTCTCTCTCTTATGGAAGCAAGAAGTAAAATTCCGAGGAGCCGATGGGAAAAAAGGGAGATTCTGTAGGAGGGAAGGAACAAGAAGAGACTTCAGTCTCTCTGTGGACTTTGTCCTACAGAACCCTTTTGTATTCTTGGCTCATCATCATCATCATCATCATCATCATCATCATCATCATCATCATCATCATCATCATCATCATCACTGTTTAGTTAATGACCCAACAGATAAAAAAGTCAAAATAGATTAACTCAAATTATGACTTTCAACCCTTACTTAAATTTTAATTATTTAAGGCTTTCCGAAGGATTAGAGTGGAATCTTGGGCGGTAGAAGACATCAGGGTGTCACTGTCATATGATATAAATGACTCCCTCCCATTATTCTATTTATTTTTCAGTTTTGACCACTACGGCCATTTAACTTCAGCAATAAATTCAGAGAATGAAGATCACAGTTACTGATAAACTCGAAATTAGTATAATATATTTTTAATACATCGAATCACGTAGTATCTATCTCTACTTGCAGCCAAACTGTACATGCAAATTTCTATGTACTGTTAATTTAAACACTTGAACCTACCGTCCATCCAATTTAAAAACGGTTAATATCTTCTCAATTCCAGTCGACAGTTAGTTAAACCGAAATTAGTTTTTTTTTCATACATATATGTATATGTATGTATATATAAAGAAGAAGATTCGGTGGAACAGATATAACCATTTAAAGAGTTTAACAGAGTTTTTAGGAAGAAGAGTGGCTTTTGCCGGAGGCAACACGGAATCTTGATATAGACAATAATGTCGGAAGAAGAAGAAGAAGAAGAAGAAGGAACTGACTGAAGACATGTGAACTGAAACCCACCACTTGTTCACATTCTGGAGTATCCAAAGTTATCTTCGTATTGAGACATGAACTCATCGTTGAACTTCTTGAAACTGTCCATTATCTCCGGCATTTCTTCCTCCGCCGGCAGAATCGTCGTCCTCAGATGAAACACCCTGAGATTAAAAAAACCCAACAGAGTTGCAGTAAGACAAATTCATAAACGAGACCGACGATTTTTTCTGGTCAAAGAGGGGCCGGGGTTTTACCCTTCTTTCTGTCCAAAACCAGAGCCAGGGACTGTGGAGATGCCAGTGGCTTCCAAGAGCTTTAGGCAGTAGAAAACGTCCGGCACTTTTCCAGCTTGTCTGGCCGCTTCTATGGCTCTTGCCGGCAACTTTATTTGAGGGAACGAGTACATTGCACCTTCATCATATCCAAACCAAAGTTACTCCATGCATCATAAAAAAAATTGGAGCCACAAAAGTTGAACGTCGTATTTACCTTCGGTGAAGTTACAGACCACGTTTTTGCAGCTGTTGAATCCGTCTGTCATAATCCTTGCTCTTCTTCTCAACGATTCCAGTATCCCCTTGCTGAAATGTTTTACAGTACGTGGAATGGAATCATTCATATGCACTAACTTTTGGTGAGACAAGATTCTAGTTGGTAAGGTTTCTGAAACATGATCCAACATCAAGCATGGAGTTGTAAGTCTTGACGGGGAAGGGAACATATATATACCTTTCTCGGATGAACTGCTCATAGGAAATGTCTCCGGGGTTCGGAGGGGATACCATCAAACCCATCTGCACAAGTCACCAGTTCCATTGACGCAACCATTTAGGTAAGCAATGCATGAATAGTGGTTCAACAAAGCATGCAAATCCAATCATAGACTAATTAGACCGTCTTACAAATATCTGAGCCGGGACGTTAGGACTGAGGGCAATCGATGCAACCTTATAGATCTCCTCAACAGTCTGCAAACATCAGAAATGGTACTCTGTAATTGGCCGTGGACGGTCACATTTAGATTCTACTCATCCCTTAGCCAATTGAGCATTTGATGAACAAAAAAAAAAGAGAAACACAAGAAAGGGTAAAGACACAAAACCCGGGGAGGGATGTTTGTCATCTCAAAGTAACCACCACGTTGCCCACATTCGCCCCAATATCCCTTCGAGACAGTGTGGAAAGAGATGAGCTGAACTTCCCGGCTAACCGGTGGTCCCATATCCATCAACACCTTTTCCAAATTCATTTGATTATTAAAGATCGAATGAATTTTCGAAAACAGATCACAAATTGTCAGAAGATTACCTTCTTGGAACTGATAAAGGGACGCTCATCCTGGTATATGTTCTGCTGATAAACCTCGTCTCCCATAAGAACCAGCTTCTCTTCGTAACAAAACTTCAATATCTCTCTTAAGTTAGCTTCACTCAGACACTGTCCTGTTGGGTTTCCTGGATTAATGATCACCATTGCTCTTACCTGCAAACACATGTACAAAAAGAAATTCCATTTGGATCCATATATGCAGTAAATTTTGCAAATTTAGGCTGTCATTGGGTTCCGAAATTCAAAATGATTGAAAAAATGTTTCAGATTAACGAACTTTTGGCTGCAAAATGTACAGAAAATGATATGCATGAAAAAGCACTCGGTGTGTTTCCTGAAAACTTTCATGATGGTAAAAAACGATGATGCAGATAAAGATTCAATATAGTATCGATCATTTAATCAAAATTTAAGCTTCCTATAAACATCTCCTCCAATTTCCATGAGAATTCAGATATGCACATCCATTAGCTTACTATGCAAATGAAAGAGGAAGAGGGAAAGAATACTGACAGTTATGCCATTAGAACGGGCTTTAGCAACAGATTCACGGAGGTTATTAACATCAAGTCCCCAGTTTTCAGTCTCCTCAAGATAATATGGAACAAGAGAACCACCAAGCAGAGATATGGTAGCTGAATACAGTGGATACTGTGGGACTGGGACTAGAACCTGCCAAAGGAAAACCCGATATGTCACTTGTAAGGAGATTACAGTTTTATAATAGACCGATTTAAAATCTTAGTAGATACGTATATTACCCCATCACTCTGGCCACGTATAATACAATTCAAGATTTGCATTACACCTTTGCTAGCTCCATCAGTGAGAAATATGAGCTCTGGGTCACTGTATTGATTAGAAATAAGAAGGCAGAAAGCCTTAGTTTCCATCTCCAAACAAATATAATTGATTGATGATTAAACTATGGAGCAATCACCTCGGATACCCATCACGTCTTTCGATGAACTCGGCAACCTCCTTCCTAACTCCAGGAAGGCCTCTTGAGTCACTGTAAGCACCTGATGAAACAGAAAACGCAGTTGCTTTCCAGTTTGCACAACAAAGATATAAAAGAATAGAAAATTAAATAATATGTCGCTTAAGCATAATATACCGAGGCCGCCTGAAGTCAGGGAAAGGTAATGCTTAGCTCTTGCAATAGCATCAGCAGGGAATAGCATTCCAACATTTGGATCATCCAGTAGAAATGGTGCTTGGCAGAGTGCAACAACCTGCAGTGATCAGTGAGATGAGCATATAGATTGCACCATGACATAACATCAGGAAGCATGAAAATCTCAGACAGGATACCTGTCGAGGAAAAGTCAATGGTTTCTGTCCCAAAGCGTGAGGGTTCCCAACATTCGTGAAAATAATCTGTTACGCGAATCAAACAAGTTAGAATTACTCAAGATGCCGGAATCAAATAAAAAACCAGTAAATGATCAATCAAGATTGCAATATAAGATCTTATATCAAGTTCAGCACCAACAGAAGTTCGTCTAAACCACACTTCCTCGGGAATGATTAAAGATTTGTAGCATAGTTGATGCTGAATCTACCTATAGGATCTGACTACACAATCTCGTCTCAAGCTGTTACCTTTTTCCCTTCTTTCTGAAGCTCAGAAGCTCGGAGATACAGCTCTCCCCTTACGGCATACTGACACTTCTTCACGTTTTCGTTCAGCGACTCGTAGTCTAATGCCTTCGGAGCCATTTTGATGATCTAATTTCGCGCAAATGCAAAGGCCAACACACTTCAGAGGCAGCTTATCAACACTGTCTGCCCACAGAAAAACAGCTCATGAAGCCTCAATGATCATAAAAGATTAAGAATGATAAGTTAAAACTAGTGTGAGGTTTCAAGAACATGGTCATGTAAACGCATACCACAGGGAAACCCGCTAACCAGAGAGATTGTTTTCTAGAGTCGATCATAGCACACTAACAGTGAAAAGAGCGGGAAAACACTCAACAGACTTCCTGGATTAGAAGACGAACCACACGAAGAAACTGAACCCAATTCACAAAATCTCCAATCCATTTCCAAGAACAAAGTCTGACGGCACCTTTTTCAAATGGGTATTTCGAAATCGATCAAAAGGAAGGAATTTTTTCACATGGGCTTCGAAGACGATTAACCGAAAACAAAATCAAACATCACATACCTTCGACTCGATGTCGGAATACCCAAAAAGCTCTGGGTTTCTCGAGAGGGCAGCAAGAGAGGAGAGGGCTTTATTCGAATAGGAATAAATTTTTAATATATTATATTTCAGCAGCAGATTACATATGTGTGTCTGACATGAATCGGGGCACTCGTCAATGGAATCATGTGGCACAAGGAGAAGGCGACGGGGGTAGCAGCACAACCACTGAAATCCCTATAAGGAGATTTATCAGAGAACAAGTCGTTTGTATCTATCTGCGTCTTGATTTTTACTTGCTCGCAAATTGGATAAAAATTGTGTGAGAATAAATGTGGAGGAGCTCCCGAACTGCGATTTTTGTATGGACTCTGTTTCTGCGGAGAGGTCTTTGGTTTGGGAGCTCAGCCAATGGAGATGAGCCATGTGGCCTATGGTTTTTTGGTACATTGACGTCATCATTTGCCCCTTCCACAGCCTTATTAACTTGATGTGCTTTGTCGAATTCAGTTAAAAATATATACATCAGTATTTAGAAGAAAAAAAACTCGGCAAAAATTGAAACAATTAATCGTTCAGGGAATAAAATCTACAAATCGTTAGTGTTAGGAAAAAAATTGCAATAATGACAAGATACGGCAACATGTTCTTCCACCGGATTCATGAACACGGAATTAACTGCAAGGACTGTCACGAGTTTTACACAGAAACACACCCAAATGCCATAATTGATAACTTCGAACCATAATTCAACATAAACCCTTTACAGCCGCTGCCGAGCTTAGGCTTCTGTGGTGTGCCCAACATCTGTCCCAAGATAAGATTCAATTATGAATTCCACAAAAGAGAACATTCGACTATGAAAATTTTCTATCTACCCGTAAAGGGTAAATTTTTTTTCAAAGAAAAGAAAAAGTTGTATTCTTTCTTTGGGTGGAGAAGGCTCTGCTGAAGGATTTGTCCTGACTGACCAATTCTTTACGAGGGGTAATGCTTCAGCCTGCGAGAAATTTCAATGTAATTCAAAAGCTTCCTAAGAGCTTTCCCACTGTCAATGGCCTCTCTGGCTCTCTCCATAGCCACAGAGACATCCTCTGCACCTTGGCATCCCAGCAAATGATCCACCATCCCTGCGTTTAACACTATTCTATCATATGCCGGCCCTTTCTCGCCCCGAAGAGCCGCCAGCCCCAGCTCTATGTTCTTCGCCACCTGCCCATTTTCAACTACTTCATTCAACTTCTCACTGTCCAAACAGATGGATACACATGCCACAAGGGTTTGGAGATTTTACCGATCGATCAGTTCTTGGAGTCTCTGTTGGCTCAAACCCATATTCCCTGGCATCCACCTCCAGACTGAAACTTTGCCTCGACACCCCTGCTATTTCAGAAGTTAGGGCTTAATCATAATTCATGTACCACCATTTAACTATTACCACAAAGGCTCCAGCTTTGTGCACACACACAACATGTTACACTCTCACTTTGCCTTGTTGATTGTTTATATAAAAAGCTAATACCAATGGAATCGTGGGGGTAGGTAGATGACCTAAAATGGAAGGATATTGTGTTCATCCATTCCATGTCAGAGCTAAAACCCACAGGAAAGGTAAAGACGTCGTAGAAAGGACAATCAGGCACACACCTCGACCAACTAAGGAATGCTCAAACACGGAGGCTCCTTAGAAGCCATTCTGCAGAAGCAGAATTATAAATGGTCCTACGATGACTTAGGTCTGCGATATTAGATCCAATGTCTATATGAAAACCGCTGTTATGGAAGAAGCGATATGGCAAACCAGAACAGGCTGCCATGGAATCTGTGTCCAAAATGTGATTTATATATTGCAATGCAAAGTCAATCAAATACCCATTAGCTGATAGCTTATATATCCATTTGGATCCCACCTACAAACCACTTTTTATGAGGAAATCTCTAGCTATGGGTTTGTCGAATTAGCGTGAACATAATGCGGAATGAGTTCTTACGGAAATTCTAGCACTTGATTCAAGTATGGATATCGTGTTTGAGCTATTCGTACCGTCAACTTCGAGAGCAGATTCTGAACTCAAAGAACGAAACCCGGAGCAATAGTTAACCGGTAGCCCTTTAGAGACAGTTGCTGCTCGCACTCGTGTCGTCATCGAGAGGGCTCCCTCCTCACCCTACATTACCAAGAAAACATTCTATGTCATTATTCCCAGTCAAAGACATGTTACGATTCGTAATCAAAAGAGTTTTTCAGGTTCTATGTTTCTATGTGCTGTAGCAGATCAGAAGGAAAGGGTTGACCTTAATCACCAATCCCGAATGTACACCTCTTCTTCTCATAAGCATTAACAAAGGCTCTTCGTAGCCTTCATGGTAAAACCCAGCCACAATCGCTTCCTTCCCTGTGGCCTGCAGTGGAAACAAGTCCATGAAATTCCGCATACTTTAAGCCTTCACTCATGCCTTTACCAAAAAAATTCCTAAAATATGTTTCTATCATCATAAACTATAAGTGCAGAAATATAATGAAGCACGAAAATAAAGGACATAAAAGCCATCTCAGGCTATTGATGGCTGAATCAGGGATATGTGATTTTTTCCCACTAATGGCCGGTCAAACAATGGTCTATCATGTGTGACGAAGTTCGGTTTAGTGACCTAAACCTGTTTCAATGATACCGCTTAAATAGATCACTCATGACTCATCACTAGTATAGTAATGAAAACCACTCACCACACCAGTAAACAATCGTCACAAAAATCTACCAGATAATGGTCATAAAGAATAAAGATCCAGTAATTGGGCATTAAGAATCCCATCACCATACTTGTGTAGACGATAAGAATCCAAAAGCAAGCACCCATGCTAGAGGGTCCAGAACCATCATAACCATAAAAGATCAAAAAGTTCCCAGAAATAGTAAAATTCTGGCTGTCATAGAATCCTTACCCTCACAAATTGTTGAACTTTCTCTGTCGTTGCCAGTGGAGGGCGTTTCTTTATATGCTCCCTTACCCCAACCAAAGAATAACTACAAGGCAGAAACAAAATTTTCGTAAATACATCCAAATTTTGTTTCCAATACTACCCCACTACTGGTGTCTAAGAAGACCGGAAGAGGAGCATGTATCAACATAACCATTGATGTAAAAATAACAAAGAAATGGTTAAAATGAGTGTTACTTAGATGTCATACAAGGATGGTCGAGCTTCCCGTAGACTAAGATATGCAAATCCAGCCTTCTCGTCCTGAAAGAAGAAAAATGGGATTTTAAATAACACAAGAAAACAAATTAAAGACTGGAAGGTAAAAAGAGGGAACGAACGCCATGGCAAATAAATTAACACTACTATTGGCACCTCGATGAGTTCCTTTGCATGCTGAAGGGACAAGCTTGTATTTGCTCCCATAAACTTTAGCATTTGTTCTTCAGTCACACCCCCCTGAACAAACCAGAAAGAATTAGATAATCTTTATACATGTTACAATTCTAACGATGGTACAGAGCATCATATTGAGGAAAATCAGAATACTTAAGACATATAATCCATGAGAACAAACAATTTTGACTTATGATTACTTTAGGTGGCATCCATTCCACCCCATGAAGCATTGAAGATTCGCCATAGCAGGATCTAACTGCAGCAACAAACAAGGTGCTTCGAAAGTAACGAGTATTTCCATCATAAGGCTCGCCATAATGGGTTAATGATTTGACGTCAGCAACTGGAGGAGCTCCTGCCAAATACTCAAAAGGTATTTGAACTGGGATTAGAACCTTGTAATCTTCCCTGGAATACTAATTATTTCATGAAAAAATGAACTTAATCTAAAAAAATCTACCAAGTTCATCATCCAATGCGAGGCAGTAAGCTTTAAGCTCGCGATCTGTTTCTCTGTTCATACGTTGGCCGATCAAAAAAGCAGAAAGCAAGGCCTCACTAACTCCTGAGGATAGACTATCTTCTGTCACGAGTGGAAGAACATCTCTTAAAACACCCTGGACCTCTTCATACCCTAGGTGCCCTCCAGCTAAAATTTCTCTTAGGGCACCAACCAGTCTCATTTCAGTAGTTCCATTGCCTGCAAAATTTGGTCCAACTGAATTCCCCACACCCATAATAGAGCCTTCAGGATCCGCAATGAAGAGAACATCAGAAGGCAGCACTCGAGCCAGGAGTGGCCAGAGCACACTCATCGCCCGCCGTTCACCTTCACTCCATTGAGTTTCCTCAGGGAAAGCATTTGCACGGATAGTCATCGCAGCAAAAAACGCTCCCAGTTGCGCGTTAGAAACTGGTTCTTCGTTTTTTAGTTCCCCTCTAGCTGCAGACCCAGTGGATCAATGGAAAGAGGCCAAGCGCGATGCATAAGAACTCTATAGAACAAATATATGTAAAAACCTAACATCCAACACTAGCAGCCGAAATTATAAGAAGGCTACACAACTGAGATATGGAAATGATGTCAAGTGATGGGCGTGATAAACAGGTAATATTTCTTTCTTGCTTTTTTTTTAACGAACATATTGCGTCATAAAGATCTTTGGCAACACAAGAATGAGCCAGAAGAGTGCAAATCTAAAATACTTGGCTAATTGCAAATAGATCATCCGAATTTGTGTAACACCATTGGTGAGAAGGAAGATTCTATACAGGTAATATACGAAAATCGAATCTTCCACAGCTGCCATTAAAAGGGGGACATGATTCCCTATCCCATCAGCCATAAATTCAAATGGGTCAAGTCAAATTAGAGACGAAAATTTTCACCTGATCGTAATATAGTATCAAGCACCTTGAAAGCCTGTTCTTCGGTGAGGGGTCTGGTCTGCGTGGGTCCGGTGCAAACCCTAGCTTGGGCGTCAAGCACGGTTTGGTTCGGCTTCGCAAGCGTCGACCTCCTGTAAGAAGAAGAGACAGCGGGGTTCACAATATCGGATTCCTTTAGCCCTAACTGCTCCATGATTGAGGAATCCAAAACGGCACTCACGGCCAAACCACCGGCGAGCCTCCGCCGCGACGGACGGCATCGATCGCTCAGAGGGAAGCGGAGACATGAAGAACTCGGCCCGTCGAAGTGAAGAGATCTCTTGATCTGCAAAGAAGAGATCGAACACAGAGAAGAACCCGGATTCAGCAGAGCTTTCATGGGAATTTCCTCGCTGGCCGCTTTTACTCTTATCTCGTCTGCGAAATCTTTTGGAGTTCTCCCAGGAAGATGACGGGAAATGTAACTTGCGATCAACTATTATAATTTAAATCGAAGACCCAGTCTTTCTATATATAAAAAAAAAACGCATTATCATATAGCACCGGTGTTTGTAATAATTATTTTTTATTTCTTACATTTTTCAGAATTTTTTTTAAGCCGAATTTTCCCTCACTGCAATTTAATTTGGCAATCATATCATATACATTTAAAGAATAAATTACTAGAAAACACCGAATGATAGAGGTTATGTCCGAATGCCAACTATTTTTCAAGTCAAAGAGTCAGCTTCGGTTGTCGAATTTCACGGCGCGACTCGCGAAGAGCAACTAATTCGGCCAGGCCCATACAAATTATCTCAACCGCGGTTATATGGACCAAACCCAATATCTTTTAAACACAATTTCCCGGACCCCCATCTTTTTAGGCCATAAAAATAAAATAAAAAGGGAAAATGACATTTTCCTACACCAACTTTGCAAAATGTGACCTTTTCCTACACGAATTTTTAATTTGACAAAAAACTACACCAAATTATCAAATGTGCCAAATTGATATACGAACTACCCGATTTAACTGCAATTTCCTACACAATCCGAAAACGGTGTTAAGTGCCCGTTAACCGCTGACGTGGCATACCACGTGGCAGCTGACGTGGCACGCCACATAGATTTTTTACCACATCAGCATACCACGTCATATTTTTTAAAAAATTCCGAAAAATATGAAAAAAAAATCGATTTTTTTTTAAATTTAAAATAAAATAAATAAATAGCAATATATATATATATATATTCATATATATTCATATCTATATACAAATAAAAATATAAATATATATACAAAATAAAAAAACATACACATATATATACAAACATCTATACAAATATATATATACATATACATACAAACAAATATATTTATATATACATATACATATATAAACACATATATATGTATATATACATATGCATATACATACATCTATGTATATATATATCTATATATATCAAATAAAAATATACACATATATACATGCATTTATACATGTATTTATATATGTATGTGTATATATAAAAATATACTTGTATGTATGTATATGCATATATATTTGTATAAATGCATGTATATATGTGTATATTTTTATTTGATATATATAGAAATATATATACATAGAAGTATTTATGTTTATATTTGTATTTGTATGTGGATATGAATATATATATATATATATGTGTGTGATTTTTTTTTATTTTTTTTTTTATTTTGTATGTATGTATGTATATGCATATATATATATACATATATATGTGTTTATATATGTATATGTATATATAAATATATTTGTTTGTATGTATATGTATATATATATTTGTATAGATGTTTGTATATATATGTGTATGTTTTTTTATTTTGTATATATATTTATATTTTTATTTGTATATAGATATGAATATATATGTATATTTTTTTTTGCTGTTTATTTATTTTATTTTAAATTTTTTTAAAAAAAAAATCGATTTTTTTTCATATTTTTTCGGAATTTTTTTTAAAAAAATATGACGTGGCATGCTGATGTGGCAAAAAATCTATGTGGCGTACCACGTCAGCCGCCACGTGGCATGCCACGTCAGCGATTAACGGACACTTAACACCGTTTTCGGATTGTGTAGGAAATTGCAGTTAAATTGGGTAGTTCGTGTATCAATTTGGCACATTTGATAATTTGGTGTAGTTTTTTGTCAAATTAAAAATTCGTGTAGGAAAAGGTCACATTTTGCAAAGTTGGTGTAGGAAAATGTCATTTTCCCAAATAAAAACCAAAGATTACAAAAAAAATACAATTGGATAAATGGGCGGTAGTGTTACAAATACACGAATTCTTACTATTTTTATTTTATATAACCAAATATTAAATAATTACTTTAATTTAGAATTACGAAAAAATTGATATCATGACATAAATATGATTTTTAAAAACAAATGAGCCATATTTTATCTAATTTTCGTGGATTTTAAAAATATGTGTACATAACCGTAACCGATATTGCTTGAAATTTTGGCATAAATAACGTTACCGATGTCTACATAACGTGAATATGAACAATAGTTTGGATTTTTATTATATAATTTGGATTCAAATTATTGATTTTTTATTAAATTATCGACTCCTTAAGGATATTGTTTGGTTAGTTTGGAAACTCCGTTGTAAATTTGGCAATCGAGAGCCAACACACACGTACATGTATATGTATGTATGTACTATTAAGTCATAGATGATCATCTAATACTGAATCATTTGCATGTTTACGACTGACATAGAAAGCATCCTGAAACTCTCTCATTTCCCCCATTAGATAAACCGTACGTTACATATATTACATGACACCGCTACAAAGCAAAATATATATTTAATATCTAAACATCGAACTATAAGATAAGCCTCGTAGTTTTAGCTTTTATTCTGTTGGGTCTTTTAGTTGTGTTGTTTTCATGGTTATGAAGACGAACAGTTAGAGGAGGGAATCGGTGGCGAGGGAGGCAAGCCTGTGGAGGAAGAGGGAGAAGACATCATCGCGGCAGAGCATGCTGACTCGGACGTGCTTCTTGTCGGAACCACATCTATTCCCGGCCCTCGTCAGAACCTTCTGCTTCATTAGGAGGCTCCCCAGATCATTCTCCTCCTTGCACCCCACCCATGCAAACGCTGTTCGTCGTCGTTCCATTTTCACACGATCTTACCACTTTTATCTCATATATAATATATGTTTGTTAGGGTAAATGAAGAAAGAAATATTACCAGGGTATGTTTCCATGAGTTTGCCGGAGAAGTTGCAGAAAGCTTCGGGATACTTAGGGAGAGTGAAGATGTGGTCGCTCTGCTTGACGACCTCTCGCAGCTTCTCCCACCTCGTCTTCATTTTCTCTCGCCCGTACTCGAAGAAGCTCTCCGTCTCCGACCGGCATGTCTCCGTCAGGACATTGAGTATCTTCGCCGCCCTCATCTGCGACTCCTTCCCCACCCCGATCGAGTTCACCATTATGTACTCCACCATCTTCTTCGCCACTTCCTTGTCCTTCACAAGCGCCCACCTTCATCAAATATCAAGTATTAGCGATCATCCATGTGTATAAACCCATAAAACAGGAGGTGGGTTTCTAACCCGATGCGTGAGCCGGCGTGGCCGGAGATTTTGGAGAAGGTGAAGAGCATGATGTCGTGATCGGGGCAGTAGGTGATGGGAGTGTAGTGAGGCCAGTAGTAGGCGAAGTCGTATATGACTTTGCCGTCTGGTTTGTTCACCACTGCCTCTCTTATGGTCCCGTCGGGGTTGTTCGGTGACGTCACCAGCTCTATGTACGGCCCTTCCTTGTCGAAGCTCCTCGCGTCTCCTTCCCATTTGTACATCTCCGATCTCAGATACGTCGTCTCTTCCACGTATGTCTACATTATATTATATTATATTATATTATATTATATTGCCAATGTGTCCACATATAAATGCTTTCGAGATTTGGGATATTTATGTATATTTTAGTTAGGAATAAGTACTTTGGGAGACACATCTTTCTTTTCCGAAGAATATAATTAAGAAGGAAAAGGAATGGGACAGGAGCATGTTACTATGTCTTCCACAACACATGTAGATGCTGTGTGACAGTTGTGTGCTGTCATTTGTTCCAATCTTTTCGTTTTGTTTTTTCAATGTGTTTGTGTGTGCGTTCGAGAAACATGTCTGTCACCTTGTTCTTTAATCCCCCCCGCTGCCCTTTTCCTCTATCAAGTATGCAATGGAGGTTATTCTGTTTTGCTTTTTGCAGAATATTATTACAGCAATGGAGGTTGATATTTACCTTTTTCCTTGCGTGTTCTATAGCTGACAGATAGGTGTATAGGGTTGTTGCAATTGTATTTAGTTTTCCATTTATTTTTATTCATTTACAAAGTGTATATATACAATGGTTGAGCAGTAATGAAAGGCAAGCAGAATATTTTGAAAACCCTTCTCTTCTTACTCTCTGAGAACTTGTTATCCTCGTTAACCAAATTACTCGCGTCCTTCACTATTCTATATTCATAAGGCCAGGTAAATATAGGCAGCTATGGAGAGAGAGGGGGGAGAGGGCTTACGGAGTAATAAGGAGCGGCGGCGAGGACGCTGACAGGGTGGGACCCACGGATGGAGGATAGCGCGTGGACGGCGGCCTGGCAAAGCTGCGTGGAGCCTGTCCCCACCACGATGTAGCGTTCATCTGTCGCCGCGTTTCCGACCGCCGCGTGCAGACCCCTGATCGCGTCTTCCAGCCCCGGCTCCATGAACCAACACACGTTGTTCGCGTCGCTGAAGTAACTCATCAGATCCCATCCTTTAATCTCCACCGTACACCTGTCCCCCATCTTCCCCCAGTACTCCTCGAACACCGTCGGATCCCCACTACACCACCGTCAAATCACAAAAGATTCGGAAGTCATATGACGATGAACAAAAAAAGAAATAGACATTCATAACCTAAAAAAAACAATTATACAAACAGAAAAACAGATATTTGAGCCGATGATTCTGCAATGCAGTTATCCTGAGACATAAAGAGCCCATGAAGCAAGACGTTCTTCATATATTTTCAGGAAAAAAAAATAGATAGATAGATAGGTATCATTGAAACTCTGCTAAATTTTGCTGTCAGAAAGCGAAACGTACTGATCGAGATTGATGACGGCGGCGTCCGACAAGACGTTGTTCTTGTTGGAAGCATTGTCGGATTTCTTCGCGTACTCAAACCCTACCATCTTCTTCTTTTTCCTGCTTCTCTGCTGCGCTTCACAGCTTATGTGAAAATCGTAACTACTGAGATATGCGTTAGGAGGAAGGTGGGATACTTATAGAATGAGAAATTTCCTTTTTTAAAAAAGACTAAGAATATATAATTATTTCTTTGTTGGAAAGAGCATATGCGTATAGTTAATTACCTTTTTTTTAAATGGGAATTTTAAAATCTTTTCTTTTATGGTCAAGAATGACCTGAATTTTTATGCAAACTTATCTACTAATTATATAACAGAATATTTCCATTTATAATTTTGTGCCTGAATCTATATAATCAGAGCAACCGGTATACTCCGATACATATCTTCAGTACGTGTTGAACTTTAAAATTCAAATAAGGCAGTCAAACACAGTTTTATTAACATTTCTTTTTCTAAAATACATATATCCGCGAAATTAAATTTTTTATTTTTACATATTCATTTATTGCCCGAGGACAAATAATGGACTGGATTCTCTCTTTGATAGGCTAGTATAGATGAAGAATAATGAAGGAAATCTAAGGGTATTTAATGCTCGGATCTAACACCTCATGCTACATCAAATTAAGTTTTACCAGCACCAACTATGTTCATGCATATCTATAATCCATCTATGCCCAAAGCCTAAATATCACACGTATAGCTAAATGGGAAAAAAAAAATAATACTCAACGGTACGTGGCAGCGCGAAAGCCGAGTGGCACATTGATACAAGAGTGATGCGTTTTACATAATTATTAAAATTAGATGTTATTTAGACGGTATATATTACTTTATGATTTTACATTATATAAGATAACAAAAAATTATAATCTATATGTACCGTATATATATATAATATACAAACTCTAAATATAATAGCTTTAATTTCTCGCAGACATATTGCCTCGATATCGACAAAAGAAAGGGTTTTGCAATTATATTATCACGTGTTTAATAATTAAAGTAACGTGGTCATCTTCACAGTTTAGCCCCCTAGACATTCCTCCTCCATCGCTATCGCTCATATTCATCAGAACGGCGTGGCCGCCGCAGCAGTGCCGTTCAGGCTATCGTGCATTCCCTTACCATTTTCTTCTAAATCTGCATAGCAATCATTAAAATAACATTTGAGATGCGGATGATATAATGAATCGGGGGTTTGACTTTTATTGGTCGGTCCACGCTCGCTGTCTGAAGCGGAGGTTTCTGTCTTCTATCATGGCGTGTCGCCAAAATGTCGCACCCTCATATTTCTTTTTCTTTTTTTTTTGTTGTTGAATGCACCCTCATATTTCTCTAATGGTCGGGCAAGAACATGCGAGCCGGCCTGCATGCATCGCGCGCTCTTGCTTCCTTTCTGCTATTGTTCTTGTTTTTTTTTTATAATAATTATTAAACAACTAATTACATAAAGCAGAAATCAAAATTAGATTCTCGGCAGCCCAACGCATGGCTTAATATGAACAAGTACGTTAAACTATACCCGTTAGAACAAATAAATATAGGTATTCATTTATTATTAAACTACGACCACATGCATTGTTTTTCCAATATCATTTGAATACCGCACAAGGCAAGTATTTTCTTTTTTACCGAAAAAAAATTAGAATCTTTAGGAAGAAAATTAACTGAAAATGAACATCTTAGCCTAGACGTTAGAAACCTTTTCTCACCTAGATGATCTAGTTGCGTTTCAGAGTCGTGCGTGCGTGCGTACATACATACATACATACATGCTAAATGACTTGAGAACCCAAATATCTTGACCCATTGGCTGGTGCAATGGTACTCTATGGTAATAATGGGCTGCAAGGAAGCCCATGTCGTTCTATCATAAATGACTTGAGAATCACTATCCGGATGCTTGATTCGGTTATTCGAAACCGAACGGAAATATTCAAAACTGAATCGGAATATTTAGTATCGTTTTCTAATCGAAATGTCTAAAATTTTTAGATAGTATTTTTAAAGAATTGGGTTTTTTAAAATTCTAAAAAATTGAAAATTTTTAAGAAAATATAATTTAGTTCTTAATAAAATTAAAACCGAATTGAATATAATATAATAATCGATTGGTACATATTTTTTTAGAATTGAAAGAAATAAACCGAATAATTTTTAAATTGAATCCGAACTGAATATTGAAACGTCCACCCCTACACATTACACGCGCACATGACTCCCTCCTCCCAACGCAGTTGTTGACATCTAAATTAGAACAAAGCTTGTTCATGCAAACCCTAACAATAGAAAATATCTAATACAATTAGAACGTACGGGTTACGGACGCTTGAATGAAAAACATAAATGCAAACTCTTAATAATGTTTAAATAAATTTAAACTCTTAATGTTTCAAAAAAAAAAAAAGATCGGCAGGGGGATTGGCACTTGGTCGAAGACTTGGTTCAAGTCGATCCATACATTCCACTCTCAGTAATATAAAAGTGTCATATTCAAGAATTGCAAAAATCGCATCAAATCGGAATAGAATCGTCTGTAATTATAGTATTGCTTAGATAACGGGACAAAGGAAGGTGCGAGATATGAAGCAAGGGGCCACAGAGAAGAGCGAAATAAATGGGAAGGGGGCACGTGGGTGATTAATGCCCTCCATCTAAATCCGGGTCAGCCCTAAACTTTTAGCCGTATCATATCTTATTAAAATAATTATCAATTATTATATTTATATATAAAAAAATTATATACTACTAGAAATCTTAAACTACTTCGGCTGGAGATGTTATACAAAGTTTAATGTGTAATATATGTACATACTTATATGTGGTATACAACAAATGTATATATGGTCCCATTGTGTCTAGGATGTCTGTTTCATTATATGCGTACCATTCTCTTCTCACCCAATGTCCTGTCCGTCCTTATTTTTAAAAATAAATGGCAAATTACGAAGGTTCAAATAACCTTTTTCATAGAATTTTACAAGGATTCGCGATAATTTCGCATGCTACATCTACCACCATGCATATGTATGAACGTTACCATTTGCCAAATATACACACACACACACACACACACACACACACACACACACATATATATATATATATATATATATATATATATATATATATATTAAATTTCAAAGTCTTACAAGGCCCACAAAAGTTGTCAGTTCGGAGAGCATTTCTTTTTCGGTTGGTGGTGATTTATTTCGATTTATTTTGTGAATGCTAATTTTTTTTTTCATTTTTGTTTTTTGCTATGCAATAATAAAACTGCCAATGTTTATCTCATAAATTCTATGGATATGACGGTTGTTACAGAAATATTCAAATTTAGGGTATGAAGTGGTTGTCCCGCGTGAACGCAGGAATTGTAGGATGGCAAACATTATATGTAGAATATGATATTTAGGCAATCATCATAATAAACGTTATGTTTTTTTTTTTTTTGCGTGTCGTTGTAATTAAGGGAGAGGTCGAGAGACATGAGGCAATAAATTGCAAAAAAAAAAAAGAATAAAATACATTTACATATTGGTAACATAAATTAGTTGGTGTAAGCCTTGATATCACCGGGGTGTATGCAAAACACCTACTTTAACACCATTTTTTCCCCTCCTTTTTTTTTTTTTTTTTTACTTTCTCTACACAAAACCATGTTAACAAATGGTGAATATTTTACCCGCAATACAAAAAAATTACGCTACGAATCAAATCATGGATCCGAAAACTTGTGGTGGAGACATCAAGGGCATCTAGGATTTTTACCGGGACCTCCGTAGTAAAAAAAGTTACCCCAAACCCGATTTACCCCTCCTCGGATGTCATAACAATTAGGATGGTCGGCCAGAACTCGGAGATTGGACAAAGGGACGAGAGTGTTGTCCCAATCGACCACGTGGATATTCCTGAAATAGGAGGCGCGTTTGAAACCTTCTCCCGACAAGTGACCACTTCCCATTTGTGTGGAAGTGTGGTAACCTCCGGGACGAGTGTTCACTGTCTCTCCCCCGAATTGGAGCATAGTCGCGTGCCTTCTCAGGTGCGTGAACAAAAACGCCGGCCAGTACCCTACTAGAATCCCCGACCCGAATTCCAACCACCAGTTCCCATGCTTCGGATCCTACGTGGATTTTAGAAAAATAACTAATATTGAGTTTTCTTAAAATAAATTAAACCTTCTATAGACGTGCGGGAAAGTAGGGGTTGAGGTGCGTTGACGGTGGAACCATTGATGACAAGCCATGTGCCTCGTTAATCAGGAAGAATGCGATTAAGGGCTACGCTAATTTTAATTTAAATTTAAATTAATGCCAACAAGATTTGTGGGTCAAACGTTTAGGCGACATTTCTATCAAATTTAACATGAGTTGCTATGCTTAGGAAGATGCATTCGAGTGGTCAAGACTCAAAAAAAAGTTTTTTTTTTAATAAAAAAAATCTTACTATAAATCGATAATTAATTTCGGGAATTACCTTCCAAATCATCAGGCTTATGTCGAACTGTCCACCTTTGTACGACGAAACGGGAGAAATTGCGGCTCCTATCGCAATACGCCTATTGGTTTGGACGAACCCCGAACACAACAAATTGTAACACCCCGTCGTTCGGTATGCGTCGGACTAAAAAACATCGTCACAAACCGTTATACCAACAACTAAAATAAAACAAAATGTGAATGATTACGTTGTACGGAAGGAGTTACCGTCCAATAGGTGAAGAATCTCGGGTAGGTGTCGCCGTACAGCTCCGGACTAACCTGTTCGAAGAAATCAAATGTTTTTTTTTTTAAATTAGGATGCATGCTGCAATTATACGATTGATAAGGTATAGTGGGAAATGCGACCGACACCGGCGAATTGAAAGACTGTAACCAATACGCATAAGTAAAACAATTTGTAGAAGGAAATAAAGACATGCCTGCCAGCCAGATTCGATGGTGTTAAGATCGGAATTGAAAGAACCGGAGATAACCCAAATCTGAGATAAGCTGAATTCGTATTGACTAACGACACGTGGCCTCCATACGTTGATACTGGCTTTCGCTCCGTAGTATTCCGCTCCTGTTACGTATCCCACTGCATGCTATTACCACAATTCATTTATTTTACACGATTTTGAAAATTAATAATATATTCGCTGTCATATTATAAACCATCTTGATCGGTCGACTTTTTTTTTTTAAATCCCAGATTGATTTAGAAAAAGATACGATGCTATCATTTTTGTTGGGTCAAAATACGTACTTCGTGGCCGTTGCTAGTGGAGTCTCTTCGAACGTGTCTGAATTTCCGACCAAATCTACGGAGGGAAGATGCCCGTAGCATGTCCTTCTCCGTCGTTCTTCTGACCGGAACCGTTCCTTGAGGGCAAGATTCTCCTGATGAACTCCACTTCTGGAAATTCTCAGACAATTCATCTCCTTGGCTATGCCCTTTCGGCATCTCCGGCGGATCCTGTTCAATTTTTTTTTCGTAAATTCAAACGAAATGAGTTTAGAAACTGAATTCTCATGCAAATCTTTACGTTAACTCTATGGTTATGTGAACTGAAAACAGTCCGGAAAGGAGGAATAGTAGTTGCAGCATACCAATGGTCTCTGTCCTTGTAACTGGGGATGATCGAACGCAGGTTGCTGGTGAGACAAAACACAGTCTATTATATCGCCATCTGGGCTCTGCAACAACGTAACAAAATTGAAAAGAAAGAAAGAAACAAGACTTGATCGTACAGCGAAAACAGAGATGATTTGAGTCAGAAATTTGCCTGAATGGTCTTGACGGCGGGTTTGTTGATCTTCTGGAGATGTTTTCTGATGAGTTTCAGCTTCCGAAGCTCGTCATGAGGCCGGAGAGCCTGATCGCCGGCGGTGGAATTTCCGGCGAGGGAGACGGAGAAGAGACAGAGAAACAGCATCGACCTGATGACCAAACCTGAAGCCATGTCTGGAGAATCCCCCCGTAGTCTTGTCTTGTCTGGATCTTTCGGAAGAGTTTGAACACATCTGTGGTATCGCTGTTTTCTTCTTCTGTGATCCAGAAAGCAACATTTAATGCGGTCTCTTGTTCTTCTTCTTCTTCTTCTTGATAACACTGACACGTCTCCCAACAAACCCATTAAACGCATAATCACTTCTCTAATAAACCCAGAAAAAAAAAAGCTTAAAAATAATCGGTTGTTCGTTTGGACAAGTTTTGGGCATGTGGGTATAGTGTTATAAATACCGGGTAGTGATGACATCATGTAATATTTTTTTTTAGAACAAAACTATAAGTTCTTATTATAATATTTTGGTTGCAGTTTTTTTTACAGAATTCTATAAATGAGAATCAGAGAAAAAAGATAGGAGGTTTCTCAAAATGTACATTCGTCGTGTGAAAACTGAAAAGGGTATTTATAAACAAGGAAATATGGGAGTGTGATTTTATGTGTTTGATGTGGTCAGTCGCAGTCACATATGAATTAGTAATGTTTTAACTTTCATCATAAACGATATTTAAATATTATATGCCCTTCAAATACTATACGAGATGTCCTTCCTCTTTCGTTATTTTTGTTTAAATCGGCACACATTCGGACCTTTCTCTGAGTTTGTTAATTTGAGAATTGGTGTAAACCCGAAATTTCTAGATTCTTAAGTCATTTTAATCGATTGAATAAAATACGGATTCTCTTATAAAAAGTTAAATCAATTGGGAGCGTAATGATTTGCATAGCATGAATATCCGTGGGGTACAACCATGCATGCATGAAGCACTTATACCCTCCAATATCTAAACTAAAAAAAATACACAAAACCGATCGAATTGATTGAAATTAGCTAATAAACATTCGCAACTTAATACATTTTTAATGTAGACACGATTTGCCAAATAAGACCAAATTCAACTATGCGATAGATGACATAAAGGAACATGTAAGGACATGATGACTAGCTAAGAAAATTTCTTTAGTAAAATTGAATTGCGGAGTGTATATATGCATGCATATATATATATATATATATATATATATAATCACATTGTCTTCAAAATTGAGGGATTCGATAGAGGAAAGCATGGACATGCATGTTGATTGAGATTCATTCTAAAAGGAAACCCGACGTTTCTTTTTTCTCGTTCCATAAATATTGATAAAACCAAGTTTGGTTTGCATTGACTCCATGACCATCATTGTACTTGCACCTCTATCATATCCAATCTTTCACGAAATTTTCCCCAAAGTTTTTTGCTTTCTTCTTCGGACAATAAATTATAACTTGCATGAACATATTTAGATAAATATGTAGTAGAAAAAATTTCTATGATTTTGTTGTTTATTTGGTTTGTCTCTTGTGATACTATAAATAGATAGAGAGAATTTCGAAGAGATGGTTTTGTCTCCTAATTTGAACAATAAGATAAATCTCATTTCCATTCGAGTCTCTACTTAGAGAGATATTCACCTGAATTTTTCCGATATTTTAATATATGTAATTGGATTGAAATCTGGTAAATTTATAGATTATCAAAAAAAAAAAAAACTTGAGGGATGAGTATCACAAGAGTCACCATTTTCATGTTTGTGTTTGGCCCATTCATATTAAGTGTATAATGCAAGTTGAACCACAATATATATATATATATATATATATATATATATATATATATATATATATATATGTGTGTGTGTGTGTGTCACAATTTATATATTGTGTATGATAACGTTTGGGCTAACATAACAACTTCATATTATAAATTAAGATACTGGTGGGAAGGTTTTGTTATAGGAGAAGAGGGTATTAAGTAGGGTATTTAAGTGGGTGCGGCCCCGTGGGGACACTTGGCATTGATGACATTGACTCCATTATTCATTACGGGGCCAAACCAATGTCTGATACCCTCCAAAAGTAAACGTGGGATCTGATTTTTTTTTTTTTTTTTACCAATTTTTTCTCTTGTCACCCACCAGATTAGATTTTTTTTTTATCTAACAAAATAAAAATACAAATTAGAGGACCAATTTGACCCGACCTTATGATTAACCAGAACACAGCTTGATTTAGGGAGCGGACAATCATCCCTCGCTCGGCCTCCTCCAATCATTCACTTCTTTAATTCGAAATCCGACAAAAAAAACTCGAATGCTACGTATAGTAATTATGGCAAATGAACTCCTATATATTATCTGCCATCAAATAATTAATATGGCCATCCCACCACATACATGTATCTCCCCGCATATATACACAGACGCTTACGTATATATGTATTATGGCTCAAGGGCGGATCTACGGTAGAAGAAGTGGGGGCACTGGCCCCCACTGTTTTTTTTTTCTTTTAAGAACATTAGTTATATAATTTAATAAAATTTAAAAAAAATGTAATAATACGAACATTAGTTATATAATTTAATAAAATTTAAAAAAATGTAATAATAATCCCATTGAAATTTATTGCGGACCCCACTATTTTTATTTTTTAATATATTTTGTGATGTTAGTTAACAAATCAAATAAAAAAAATTGTATTTTATTTTTTTTCTCTTTTTCTTCGTTATCTTCTATTTTCAATTTTTTTTTGTTTTTGTTTTTAATCAAACAAAAAATATTATCAATTCAATTATAATCAAATTAAAACTAAAACTAAAAATAAATATTTATAAAAACTATGAATTTAAATAATCTTTATTATTTATTTGTTTTTATATATTTATTATACTTATAAATTTATCTATATATATATATTTATATATTTATTTAATTTTTATTTGATTTGGTAAAGAAAACAATAAATAAACTTTTTAAAAAAATTTGTAATAATATCTCAATATAGTGGTAAAAGTTCAACCGATAATTTACTCAAAAAAAAATTCAACCGGTAATACATTAAATTTTTAATTTTTGAGTTGTTGTCTAGTTTATTTTATGAAAAAATATTTTAAACAGTTATAAATAGAATTATATAAATATATTTTATAAAATAAGAAATTATAGAATTCAATTGTTGAAGCTAAACATTTTTTAGATGATATTTTTTATTAAAATTTTATAATATATATATATATACATATATATATATATATTATTGTTTCGTTGCCCCGCTGAAAAAATTTTCCTTTAGACCGAGCTCTCTCTTGTAAGACTCTCTCTTGAGTTCGTTCGCCGGTTCGTTCCGGCCACCGTCGCCGGAACGGACCCGGGCTCCCGTTGTAACCTTATCTCGCACCTTTAATGAAATGACCTCGTACTTGGTTCATTCTCATCTCTCTCGCTCTCTCTTTCTCTCGGCCTTCTCTTTTCCCATTCGGATCCCATGATCCTAGGCTTGGTTCGGTTCCCGTTCGAACATGACTTGAGTTTCTCGGCCAAGACCCTTCTCCATGAGTCTTTGGACCGAATCTTTTAGTTCATTCGAACCCCATTCCGCATCGGACCGAACCGCCGGACTCACTAGCTTGACCTCTCAAGTTAGTGCGTCTCAAAGATCTGCTACTCTTATGGCGGTATGTGAAAAGACACCATTCCAATTTTTTTTTTTAAACGAATGTGAATGTATATGTAGGTGACCGTCGATATCATGTTTTTAATAACCGAAAAGAAAATTGGTCTTCAAACAAATATTTCCTGGAATTATGGGAAGTGTTTTATACGTACCAACCTTATAAATCAGAATTTCCGGTTCATCGTCATAAATTCCGCAATGCCATAGTTAGCATGTGACTCGTACTTGTTTTTTAAAAAAATGAAAATCTATTAGAATACCGTTTTTTTTTTTTGAAAAAGTAAAATACATATTTTATTCGAAAGGAAAAAGAGAAGAAAAAGAAAGAATGAAGCAAAAGCAAGGGCAATGATGCTGTCCAAAACCGCCTCTCCTTTGCTCGGCTTTTTATTCCCTTGGGTTACATATATTACTCTTATTTTTTTCCTCTATTTTGTTAATTACTCCAGGCTTAACAAAATTGATTACGGTATTACTCCTTCCATTTTAAAATATTTGATATTTTAGATTATTTTTCATATTTCAAAATATTTATTATTCTACATTTTCAAGATATTTTTTTACAATAATTTCTAATTTTATCTCTACTAAATTCTAATAAATTATTAATGACAATATTTTTTTATCAATAAAAATACTAAAATAAACATCGGATATTTTCTCTTTTCTTAAAAAATATAAAATAATCTAAAACATTAAATATTTTAAAATGGAGAGAGTTTTTTTTTCAAGTAATTCCACCCCTACTGTGAAACATATGAAAACAATAAAACAAAAAAGATATTTTCTGTTTTTACTGTATTATAAAGTGCTAATAATAAGGTAATATGATAATAGAATGTATTGGTGTCATGTGCTTTGCATGTGACGTATTATAATTGGCTGAACGGTGAACCATGAAAATTGTCCTTACCAAGGTGTCGGCCCAATTTACGGGCTGGTTTCTATCAAACATCGCCATATTCCTGTCGGCATTCTTTTTGGGCTATTATTAACCCAAACTATATTTTTTTGGGTAAAAGGTAAATTCAACCCAAACTATATTCTCTTTTACAAATAGTATAGTGCAAATGTTGGAAATCTTATCATTCGTGAAATATAGTTTTTTTTTTATATTGGTGAATTGACTAAGGTTCGAACTCGTGTGGCTTTTAATTGTCCCACTTTGCCACTTTTTCGGTCCACCTTGGACATTAGTGAAATATAGTTACTAGAAATAAAGAATGTTGAGGCGAATATTATTCTCTCAAATTTTAAAAAAATGTAGCTCTCTGATCTAACTACATAGAAATAGGGATGTTAAAATAGTTCCGACTTGTTGACTGATTCGCGAACCGGTTTATATCTTTTTCGGCCTAATTTAAAAAATTTGAGTTCAAAAAAATGAACGGAACAAATGGTGAACTAATTGAGCGAGTCCATGAATAGATATGTGACAGTCAAGGATATCGTAGGAGGACGGAGAGTGATCGCCGGTGCGAGAGGTATGGACAAGGAGCGGCTCCTGACGAGTTTCTGGGTAGAGAGTATATGGATGAATCGAACGCACCAGAATGAGAGGGGAAACTGTGTAGGTATGAGACTATATAGTCAAAGATAACTTAAAAAAAATGATTGAGCCACTCATAACAACAAGATATATATACCTTTTCGGTTGCTCATCTCGAGAGAATTCCAAAGTTAAACGTGTTGGTATTGTAGTAGTCTTAGGATGGGTGGCATCCTGAGAAGTATTTTTCGGGTGTGTGCGAATGAGTACAAAACACGCTAAAAGATCTCGTGTTGGTGTGTGAGGATAGCTCTATTATTCCATAGCGGCATCGGGACGTTACATGATCCATAGTCCAAGGAAAAAGATTTTTTTTAAATTTTTTAATATTAAAATTATGTGTTTAATATATATTTTATCTCGTTTTGTTTAATTTTTTAATATTTTTAAATGTTTTTAGTATTTAATTTTTTTAATTCGTTATTTGGTTTGTGAATCCATTCGTTTGGCAAACAAGTCATTTTTGGTTTACCAAAAAACGGACCGGATCGAACTGAACTAAAAAAATATAAGATCAGCACAGATTCGAGTGGACCGAACCGGGTGAACCCGTTTTACATCCCTACACAGAAATTTCTTGTCTGTCCTCTGTTTTTTTTTTTTTCAGTTTTTTCTCTCTCCCTGTGTAATCAATCAAATATAAAAAAAGAGCTTCATGAGTCTTAAACGAAAACAAGACCCCCAAATAAAAACCAAATGTTATTTACAAAAAAAAAGAAGATCAAATGTCTTTTCTTGATTGCTTCCGAAGTCCTCGCACACCTCTTCATTGGTTATGTTTTCGCCGTTACTGCGGGAGAAGTGTGGAGAGGGACAGGCAGTTATCAGCCATCTGTCTCAAAACTCCGGCGGACTTGGCGATGTCTTTAGCCGCCGGAGAGCCATCGACGGCGTCGTTGCAGGTCTCGAAGTTAGTCAAAGCGGCACTGAGGTTGACGTTGAGGCTAAAACCGTCATTTTCTCTGATGTTCTTCAGAGACTTGTTGAGATTGTCGATGGCGCTGTCGTAGTTGGAGAGGCAGATGGAGAATCCGCCGTCGCTTTTTCCCTTCTGGGCTTCGGCCTTCGCCTTTTCCGTCAACGGAAGAAGAGCGTTGATGGCGGCCGCCGTGGCGGAGAGAGGGTCCTTCATATTCTTAACGGCGGACTTGCAGAGGACGGGGAAGTCGGTGACGGAGCATGGATCGTCCGCCTTCGGACGCCCCGCAGCCTCCGTCACAGCCATCAGGACGACGACCACCACGGCCGTGACTCGAACCATTTGCATGTTTTCCTTCCTTTGTGTACACGTAAACGTGGGCTGGCGGATTATTTGAATGGAGAGATTCGGAGGTGTGGCTCACAAATTGGTTATTTTTGGTAAATCATGGGAAGGAACATCCGACTAATTTTATCACCGGTGAATGGAGACACAAGACGTATCTAATTTAGATTGTTTGGTTTTATAGGTTACGTTCCCTCTAATTGCGGATTTATGTACCGTGTGGTCGATCGTCCGTCTTTGTTATTTTTTTTTTCTGGTTTATGATATGATTGTTAGGGTTTTTACCGTGAATCACAATTCGGTAAATAAGAACCCCTTACTTGTGTGAGCGCGTTAGGATGACAATATCTAGTTAGAACAGAAATTTAAATGAGACAATCGTTTTTAACGTGGAAAACCTCCTCGGTGTGAGGAGTAAAAACCACGGGACCGTAGTCCACCCAAAAATCCACTATAATCTCAAATTTCCGGGTTACAACGTCCACACTTCAGTCTCCAATAAACAAGAGATACACCCGAGACTTCCGAATATTAACCAATATTCAATCTCAATAAACCCGAAAGAACCAGCTGTAACTTAGGCAGCAAGCTAACCCCGTAACTTCTGATTCCGGCAACCAAATACCAACTTCTCCGTAGAAATCAAAAGCTCAGAGGGTGTAGAATAAACATACCAAATTTCAGCTCAAACGGAGAAGAGATGAGCATCCGAATCTTCAACTTACTCGGACATGTGCTGCTGAAGCTCCAATGACGAACAGCTTCGGTAGAAACTCCGTTTCTCCAATTCTGACCGTTGGAATCAAAATTCCACCGGACAAAACCTAGAACAATGAGTGTAGAAGCTCTCCTCCAAATTCCAGATCGATCGGACAAGGAATGACCATCCGATCGAAGCTTTGATCACAGCTGCACCAAACTGTTTTCTCTCCCTCTTTTCTCCCACTCTCTCTTTTCTTCTTTCTGCTATTTTCTCTTGCTTGGATTATGAAACCACGACCAAAGCTTCTGCATTTGTAGCCTTTGATCACATCAACTTTAGACAAAAGTTTGTCTAATGATTTGTCATCACAATAATGGTGTTTCCCACCATTTACTTTTCCACCTAATGCATGATTGATTTTTAATCAATACACTTAGGAGGAAACCCCACAATTCTCCCCCTTCCGACTAAGTGGAGGAGATTGCCATCCCGACAATCCTGCAACAAATATCCAGCTTCCCTCTCGGTAATGCTTTTGTCATCATGTCTGCACCATTATCATCTGTGTGAACTTTCTCAAGTTCAACCTCCTTTGAATCCACGACATCTCGTATCCAATGATATCTAACATCAATGTGCTTCGATCTTGAATGAAACGTCTGATTCTTTCCAAGATGAATAGCGCTCTGACTGTCGCAAAACAGGATATACCTATCTTGTTTGAAACCGAGCTGCTCAAGAAATCTCTTCATCCACAACAACTCCTTACAAGCTTCAGTTGCGGCAATGAACTCAGCTTCAGTGGTAGAAAGTGCAACGCATTTCTGTAACTTCGATTGCCATGACACTGCTCCACCCGCAAAAGTTACCAAGTAACCCGAAGTAGATTTCCATATCTGAATCTGTGTAACCAACCAACAAAGGTTTGTCACCTCCAAACATAAGTCTGAAACCGGAAGTACCTCGAAGATATCTCAGAATCCACTTCACTGCATTCCAATGTTCTCTTCCTGGATTAGAAAGAAACCGACTGACAATTCCAACGGCGTGAGCAATATCTGGTCTTGTACAAACCATAGCATACATCAAACTCCCCACTGCAGAGGCGTATGGAACTCGTCTCATGTCCTCCGTCTCTGAATCTGTACTCGGACTCTGCTGACTGCTTAATCTAAAGTGTGATGCAAGAGGTGAGCTCACAACTTTAGATTTCTCCATATGAAACCGTTGAAGTACTTTCTCAATGTACTTCTCCTGTGACAGATATAACTGCTTGTTACTTCTGTCCCGAACAATTCTTATCCCAAGAATCTGCTTCGCTTGTCCCAAATCCTTCATAGCAAAGAACCGACCAAGTTGCTTCTTCAACTCTGTTATCCTCTCCATGTTCTTGCCCACAATCAACATATCGTCCACGTAGAGCAGCAAGATGATAAAATCATCATCGGAAAACTTCTGTACAAACACGCAATGATCGGAAGTCGTCTTCTTGTAGCCATGATCCCCCATAACTGACTCAAACTTCTTCTACCATTGTCTCGGTGCTTGCTTCAACCCGTAAAGACTTTTCTTCAACCGACAAACATAATCTTCTTTGCCCTTCTCAACAAAGCCTTCAGGTTGTACCATGTAAATCTCTTCCTTCAAATCACCATGAAGGAAAGCCGTCTTCACATCCATTTGCTCAACCTCCAAGTCAAGACTAGATGCCAATCCCAGAACAACCCGTATGGATGACATCTTCACAACATTTCAGTAGTGTAAACGTATGTTCTGTTCAGTCCATCTGAATGTTAGGGTTTTTACCGTGAATCACAATTCGGTAAATAAGAACCCCTTACTTGTGTGAGCGCGTTAGGATGACAATATCTAGTTAGAACAGAAATTTAAATGAGACAATCGTTTTAACGTGGAAAACCTCCTCGGTGTGAGGAGTAAAAACCACGGGACCGTAGTCCACCCAAAAATCCACTATAATCTCAAATTTCCGGGTTACAACGTCCACACTTCAGTCTCCAATAAACAAGAGATACACCCGAGACTTCCGAATATTAACCAATATTCAATCTCAATAAACCCGAAAGAACCAGCTGTAACTTAGGCAGCAAGCTAACCCCGTAACTTCTGATTCCGGCAACCAAATACCAACTTCTCCGTAGAAATCAAAAGCTCAGAGGGTGTAGAATAAACATACCAAATTTCAGCTCAAACGGAGAAGAGATGAGCATCCGAATCTTCAACTTACTCGGACATGTGCTGCTGAAGCTCCAATGACGAACAGCTTCGGTAGAAACTCCGTTTCTCCAATTCTGACCGTTGGAATCAAAATTTCACCGGACAAAACCTAGAACAATGAGTGTAGAAGCTCTCCTCCAAATTCCAGATCGATCGGACAAGGAATGACCATCCGATCGAAGCTTTGATCACAGCTGCACCAAACTGTTTTCTCTCCCTCTTTTCTCCCACTCTCTCTTTTCTTCTTTCTGCTATTTTCTCTTGCTTGGATTATGAAACCACGACCAAAACTTCTGCATTTGTAGCCTTTGATCACATCAACTTTAGACAAAAGTTTGTCTAATGATTTGTCATCACAATAATGGTGTTTCCCACCATTTACTTTTCCGCCTAATGCATGATTGATTTTTAATCAATACACTTAGGAGGAAACCCCACAATTCTCCCCCTTCCGACTAAGTGGAGGAGATTGCCATCCCGGCAATCCTGCAACAAATATCCAGCTTCCCTCTCGGTAATGCTTTTGTCATCATGTCTGCTTGCCATCCCGGCAATCCTGCAACAAATATCCAGCTTCCCTCTCGGTAATGCTTTTGTCATCATGTCTGCACCATTATCATCTGTGTGAATTTTCTCAAGTTCAACCTCCTTCGAATCCACGACATCTCGTATCCAATGATATCTAACATCAATGTGCTTCGATCTTGAATGAAACGTCTGATTCTTTCCAAGATGAATAGCGCTCTGACTGTCGCTCAAGAACCCTCTTCATCCACAACAACTCCTTACAAGCTTCAGTTGCGGCAATGAACTCAGCTTCAGTGGTAGAAAGTGCAACGTATTTCTGTAACTTCGATTGCCATGATACTGCTCCACCCGCAAAAGTTACCAAGTAACCCGAAGTAGATTTCCTAGAATCTGTATCTCCCGCCATATCTGAATCTGTGTAACCAACCAACAAAGGTTTGTCACCTCCAAACATAAGTCTGAAACCGGAAGTACCTCGAAGATATCTCAGAATCCACTTCACTGCATTCCAATGTTCTCTTCCTGGATTAGAAAGAAACCGACTGACAATTCCAACGGCGTGAGCAATATCTGGTCTTGTACAAACCATAGCATACATCAAACTCCCCACTGCAGCTTCAACGGTTTCATATGGAGAAATCTAAAGTTGTGAGCTCACCTCTTGCATCACACTTTAGATTGAGCAGTCAGCAGAGTCCGAGTACAGATTCAGAGACGGAGGACATGAGACGAGTTCCATACGCCTCTGCAGTGGGGAGTTTGATGTATGCTATGGTTTGTACAAGACCAGATATTGCTCACGCCGTTGGAATTGTCAGTCGGTTTCTTTCTAATCCAGGCCCAAAACAACCCGTATGGATGACATCTTCACAACCGGTGAAAAGATCTCATCAAAATCAACTCCTTTCTTCTGACTGAAACCTTTTACCACCAGTCTAGCCTTGTATCGCGGACGCAGACTGTGCTCTTCATGCTTAACCCTGAACACCCATTTGTTAAGCAATGCTCGTTTACCCTTAGGTAATTTTACCAACTCAAACGTCTGATTCTTGTACAAAGAATCCATCTCGTCATTCATGGCCTTCATCCATTCGTCCTTGTGTTCATCTCCGAGAGCCTCATCAAAACTCTCTGGTTCTCCCCCTTCAGTAAGTAATACATACTCACTGGAGCTATACTTCGTTGATGGTCTCCGAGCTCTCTCAGACCTTCTCAACATCGGCGAGTCTTCGGTAGTTGACGACTCAACCCGATGGTCTTCACCAATACCATCATCAATTTGTACGGGAGCATCTATACCAGGTGTATCACCT